AGATTACAAGTTAATCTCCTTGTAATAAATTTAAATCTCAATTTTAGCACTCAGGGGTTATGGCCTGGTCATCAGAACACCCAGGATTGAGTCTTATCTTCACCTCTTCCCAGATGAGAGCTAAGACAGGTGTCTCTGAGGTCCTGGGATCTAGCTTGTGTTCATGAATAACAATTACAAAAAAAACAAACAAACCCACAAACAAAACAAACAAACCACAAACCCTGTTGTACAAAAACAGCCCATGACCCTCAAATTAGGACCAGCCCTGTCATAAAAACGCTAAGAACGGCTGAGAAAACAGACCTCCGCCTACTCAGCTCTCCATCACTGAGCATCTGGGAGCTGTCTAGCTCCTGGATTTGGAGGTTACCGGGTAACAGGTTCTTGTGGTTATGACTTCTGGATTCTCCTCCTCTACCCCCAAACACACCTTCTATCCTGTTCTTGGCCAGGGTCACATCCTCACATCCTTGCCCACTCCAAGGCTAAACAAATATCCCCTTTTACTAGTACTTGGTTTCTCAAGGCACCGACCTCTTACTATTACGTGTGCTGCACCTGCCGGTCCCCATCCTCTTTCTCTCTGATTCCCATCTTCTTTGTTCTTCGAGGCTTCTAAAGCCATCACTGCCTGAATCCCTCCTAAGGAAACAAGCCTTCTTTGGTGTGCACATCGAGTTAACTGACAAATGTACTTAATGCAGCAAATGAGCACATGTATCTTTGGCTAAGGGACAGCCTTCATGTAGGTGGAGAGTAATCTAGGAGGCGAATATATTAGTCACGGTAGAAGCACAACTCTGGCTTAAGAGAAATAATAATAATAAGAGAAATAATAATAATAATAATTAGATTTATAGAACTTGAAAATCAGGGGTGGCCATGGCCACAGGATTGGATCTAGTGGTTCAAACTCAGGTTATCTCCCTATCATTCCCCCCCTCATCTGACCTTCCATTTGCAACGGCTTCATTCTTCTGGGCCCCTCCAGCTGCCAGGGGACATGGCCACCAACAGTTCTAGGATAACAGTTAATGATTTGTGACCTTAGTGATTTGTCTCCCAGTATTTCATAGTCTAAAAATATGGGAGTTTCCTAGTCACTTAAATGAAGAACCTTATTTTGGCAGTTTCCCTTCCAGGGTTACGTTAGGACAGTGTGGTTACCCTGCAGGACTATATAGGAACAATGTAGAGTTACTTTTTCCCCCTGTTAATCCTCACCCAAGAATACTTTTCCATCAACTTTTAGAGAGAGTGGAAGGGAGGGAAAGAGAGAGTGAAAAACATAGATATGAGAGAGACACATCATTGGTTGCCTCCTGCACATGCACAGGGCCCAGGATCTCTAGCCTGCAACCGAGGTACGTGCGCTGACCTTCAGTCTGAGGGCCTATGCTCTCTCCACCGAGCCAAACCAGCCAGGGCTAGAGTTACTTCTTGAAAACAGTAACGAAGGTTCCACTAGCTGCCTTCTTAGAAAGTTGTTAAACGTCATGACCACAAACAGAATTTAATGCCCAAGTCATTTTTGTTCACTCAGACAGCCAAATTACCATGAACAAGGATTATATAATTATAGCTGATATTTTTAACGGTTTCAATAATTTGCATCCCAAGTTCTAAGGCCTACATATTAAATACAGATTTAATGAAATGTATAGTTTTATTACACAGTATAATAAAAGTTACTGGTATGATCCTGAAATTAATATTCCAATTTGGTTCTGGTTGTCTAGTCAGTATCAGAGCTCTTTACCTCCACTGTGCTTCTATAGGATGTTTATGATGTCCCATGAATAATAGGGTTCTAGTCGGCTGGTGTAGCTCAATGGTTGACGTCGACCTATGAACCAGGAGGTCACAGCATGATTCCCAGTTAGGGCATGTGCCCAGGTTGCGCACTCAATCCCCAGTACGGGGCAAGCCAATCGATGATTCTCTCTCATCATTGATGTTTCTATCTCTCTTTCCCTCTCCCTTCCTCTTTCTGAAATCAATAAAAACACTTTTTTTTTTTAAAAGGCATAGACCTTGTATGCATAACCCATGGACACAGACAGTGGGGTGGTGAGGGCCTGGGGCGGGGGAGGCTGAAGGGAGTTGATGGGGGAATAAAGGGGACATTTGTAATACTGTCAATAATAAAGATTAAAAAAAAAGTGTACCAGGGTCAGGCCCTGGTTGGGTAGCTCAGCTGGTTAGAGCTTCTGCTTAATATGCCAGGGTTGCAGGTTCGATCCCCAGTCAGGGCACATACAAGAAGCAACCAATGAATGCATGAATAAGTGGAATAACAAATCAATGTTTTTCTCTCCCTTCCTCTCTCTGTGCCTTCCTCTATCTCTAAAATCAATATTTTTTTAAATTAAAAAAATAAATGAATAAAAGGGTTCCAGGGTCAGTGTACTTGGGAACTACTGGATTAAATGAGTCTTATTACCACGGAACTGACTCAGTGACACACAATCACACATCTGAGGGGAGAGGTGGCAGCATATAAACAGAGACCTGCCTGACCACAGAGCGCTTGCTTGCTTTGGAGCAGCTCACAGCACCTGTGCTCCACAGGACACCCTTGAGAAAATGCTAATGGTCTGATTATTTGCTTTTTAAATTCAAATAATATCAGATTTAAGGGCAAGGATCAAAATTCACTGACCTGTTGTACAAGCAGGTATTTGCTTGAAGGTGACTTTTCATTTCAGGTGAAAATATCGCAATGTCAGCACTGACAGGGACCACAGATAATAAGATCTGAGATTGTAAAATGAATTGTATAATAAACCACCTGAGGATTCTAATACCGTAATTTTGTGAACTAATATCTAGGCCCGTTGGCAATCTGGTCTCTGACCCTGCGTGAGTAACTGGGCCATTTTCCAGTTTAACCTGTCTACCTGACCAACTGCATTCCCTGCATTGTTTATTCCACCACAAGACTTGCTTTATCAGTTTACTTTATAGACTCCAAGGGCAATTGAGGCACTGGCCATATCTTGTGACTCTACCTGCTGATCATGAGTCAACTCAAACTACCCATTCATCATATCTCACAACCCCACTGGCTGAGACCACTGGGCCAGTAGACCCTGGAGAGTCCAGTTGCCCCGCCAATCAGAAAATGGATGATGTAAGTTTATGGTCTTGTTTACCTAGCAACCCTCCCTTTGATTCTTGTTTTTAAAACCCTTGCCTATTCTTCCCACCTTAGAGAGTGTCTCTGGTTCATGCTGAAGGCTATGTTCTCTGATGTGCAAATCATGTAAGAATCAAACCCTCTTAACTCCTGTGGACTTTCAAGTCCTGAGGAACTTGAAAAAATACATAGTTGGACACCCCACCAGGATGTTCTAATGAGGGCTGGGCACATGCCCATGAAAAAGACTCCCAGTTGGTTCTGAAATGCAGCCTCTGATCCAGAAATCCAATGACCAGTATTGGGACATCAGTCAAGAGTTTTCTTTCTTAAAATCTTACTTACTGGTTTCTTTCATTCAGTGAATATTAACCAAGTGCCTTCTCTGTTCCAGGCTCTATGCCTGGCAATGGCTTGACTCCATGCTAAAACCAAACAGGAAAGTTGTTCTTATTTCAGCTTTAGTTTGTCTTCTGTTGGCGGAAGAGAAAAGAGACTATTCACCTTAATTGAGAAAGACTATTAAAAAAAAAAGACATATATATATATATATATATATATATATATATATATATATATATATATTTATCTCAGAGAGGAAGGGAGAGGAAGAGAAACATTAATGATGAGAATCATTGATTGGCAGCCTTCTGCACACCACCTAATGGGGATCAAGCCCGCAACCCATCATGTGCCCTTGACCGGAATCGAACTGGATCCTTCAGTCCACAGGCCAATGCTCTACCCACTGAGCCAAATCATCTAGGGCTAGAAAGACCCTTTGGAATCTTGAAAGAACTATTCTCAAACAGATTTCTAGCGTATGTTTTATATGTCCTATTGGAGTTCTTGAACAGCAGCATCCAAAAAGGCAATTCTATAGTAAAAGAGATACTTGTGAGATTGTGGTTTATAATATGTATATTTGGTCTACACACACACACACACACACACACACACACACCTTTCTGGCAGAGTTCCTAAAACACTTGAACAAAGATGTCTCTTATTATGTTAATGAGATGATTTTTGGAACACCAACATGAATTACAACTAACCTGAATCTGTTTTAGGAAGAGCTTAAATTACTATAGAGCCTGCCCTGAATGAAATACAAAATACCCTGGCCTGGATAGAAACAGCAAGACAGTTGTCTCCATGTCTGAAAAACCTCAAGCTAAGCTCTGGAGCAACAGCAAATCTTGTTAAATGGCAGGAGTGCCGTTTGGTTATGCACTCTGATTTTTTAAATAGAAAGAAGAGCCAAATTAAACTGCTCATCAGTATCAGCCAAGGGAGCTAATTGAGAACAGAGTCCTGAAGTGTTGACCATCAACTATTACTGGGAAATGGCTTGGGATGACCAATGAAAGGGAACAGTGGCACAGGTTATGAAAATAATAGGGCAAGATGTACAATAAACTAAAGAAGAGAAATCAACTTTTCAAGAAATGCTGTATCATTTACATGCCCCATTACTAACAGTTGCCTACTATAGAATTTTAAGGTTACATGCCATATATTGCTACTTAGAGAACATGATTACATGTAACCATCATCAATGTACATATATGTGTGTGTGTGTGTTGAACCCTTGGAATTATCAACATTTAAGGAACTAGCAAAGAGGAACCAATTGAAAAGAGTGGGATAGAACTAGAAAAGATGGAAGCCAAGAAAGAGTTCCAAGAAAGGAATACTCAACAAGGCCCAAAGCAGCAAAGAGTTCAGAGAGAAGTACTAAGAAGTGCCCAATAAATTTGGCAACCAGAGTCTCTAGTGACCTTGACAAGAACAATTTCAGTAGATTGTTAAAGGCAAAAGCTGGTTTACAGTAGGTTAAGGAAAGAAAGGGAAGTATGGAAAACATTCCATCCATTCATTTATTTATTCTAAAGCATACTGAGTGGCTACTGGGTATACACTGACAGTTGGTTCCAAAGGGAAGAATAGAAAGAGAACAAGGTGAGGCTTTAAAATTTGTCCCAAGTACTTAGAGCTCTGTTGGCCTAGGAATCATTGAGGGTCTGATTCACTCCTATGTGCTTTATGCATATGATATCATGCAAACCGTTGAAAACTATGAAAAGAAGGTGAGTAAAGTGATAAATATTTAGTACAGTACAAGCCTTAGGTAAATATCTTCATGTGGTACAAGCGATCTGCCTACTAGGGATAATTTCTTCTTCACTCACGATCACCCATTCGCTGTAGTCGAAGCTTGTGGTCCTGAGGTCATTTGGACATTTCTGCAGGATCAAATGGTAGCTTCTCAAAATGAAAGTCCCTCCACTTTGCATACAGTCTCTGCTCTCCAGTTGCAATATCCTCCACCACAAAACTTTCAATTTTTATGATTGGGATCTCAAATGTCTTATACTTCACATGGATGCCCCAGTCATGGCTGCAGTTCTGTCTGGCACAGAATACCTTTGCTTTCTTCTCAAAAATCCCCACACTCTTTGGTCTGGGGTGTGCCTTAGTCACGAAGCACTCCTTGAAAGCATCTCCAACCACAGTGTAATGGCATTCCTATGGATAAAGGGATCAAACATAAAAAAAAAAAGAACATTAGAACCAGTTCACAGTGATAGCGGTTCGCTGCTATTATTTCACACATTGATAATTATAGCATATTTATAATTTTGTATCCTGATTATTTTTCCGCTTTACCATTAGTTTATAAGGAGTTTTTCATTATTCTATATAAATTTCATAATCATTTTGTTTAATAAACCTGACTTTGGAATAATTTTAGATTAACAGATAAGTTACAAATGTAGTCCAGAGAATTCCTGAATTCACCTTTCCTGAATGCTAACTAACATCTTACATAACATAGTACATTTGTCCAAATTAAGAAGTTAATATCAGCAAATTACTATTAACTATAGATTTTACCTTTTTCCTAGTAAAACCTTTTATCTGTTCTAAGATTTAATCCAGGGAACCACACTGAATTTAGCATATCCATATTTCTAATGGCTACATAATATTTAATTAAGTGGCTGTGCAGCAATTTTTAAAATGATTTCTTTATTGTTAAAATTAAGGTGTTGTGTGTGTGTGTTTTTAACTTTTTAGCTTTTGTAAAATACATGGACCATGACATTAGTTATAAAGAAAGTATGGCATTCTTATAAATATCTCACCAGTAGTGAGTAAGCTTTAATTAGTGCTAAAACTGCTGGTGGGAATGCAGACTGGTGCAGCCACTATGGAAGACAGTATGGAGTTTCCTCAAAAAGCTGGAAATGGAACTCCCATTTGACCCTGTGATCCCACTTCTAGGAATATATCCCAAGAAACCAGAAACACCAATCAGAAAGGATATGTGCACCCATATGTTCATAGCAGCACAATTCACCATAGCTAAGATCTGGAAACAGCCTAAGTGCCCATCAGTAGATGAATGGATTAGAAAACTGTGGTACATCTACACGATGGAATACTATGCTGCTGTAAAAAAGAAGGAACTCTTACCATTTGCAACAGCATGGATGGAACTGGAGAGCATTATGCTAAGTGAAATAAGCCAGTCAATGAAGGAAAAATACCACATGATCTCACTCATTCATGGATAATAAAGACCATTACAAACTTTTGAACAATAATAGATACAGAGGCAGAGCTGCCTCAAACTGATTGTCAAACTGCAGTGGGAAGGCCAGAGAGGGTTGGGGGGCAGAAGGGAGGGGAGTAAGAGATCAACCGAAGGACTTGTATACATGCATATAAGCATAACTAATGGACATAAGACACTGGGGGGTAAGGGAGGGCAGGGGATCGTCAAGGGCGGGGGGTGGGGGAAGGACACATATGTAATACCCTTTGTAATACTTATTATAATATTTTTTTAAAAAGAATAAAAAAAAATTAGTGCTAAAAAATGACCCAGTATTCTTTGGAAAAGGCTGCTCACCTCTATCACTCTTATATCTGCTGTATGACAAGCAAAGGCTTTGCACTTTCTGCAGAGCAGTTTTTTATTTTTCTTATCAAGTGCAGGTTCTGCTTTTCCTTGACTATCCCTGATGAATTTTTCATGAATCTGGATCTGGTGAATCTACATGAGAAAAAAGAAATACCTCATAAATGTAATTAAAATATATATATCATTCATTTTGCATACACTTCCATGAACATGTCGTACCTGGTGACTTTGTAAAAATCCCATAGGTAATTTTATTGGTTCTCCTAACTCTTTGTTAGTCAATGTTTAACTGTGGCCTCCAATTAGTCTTTTAATTTCCTCGTCAAAGTTGCCCATAGAGCACTAAAGATGTGCATAAAATAGTCATATGAACCATGCTTTCTACTTTAGTAGCCGGCAAAACTTAAAATGTCCTTCACAAATAAATATATGATACACATGGACTGTTTCAGACATATTTACACCCACTTCCAAGGCATAAACCCAACTGAATGAAACAGCAGGCAGAAGAGCCCTCACCATCCAAATTGGTTTTCTCCTCTTTCCTCTTCCAACCACAGAGAGCACTGTCAAATTACAGTAAAGTTAAATGTATGTATGGTATGACTGCATTATATTTCAAAATTTAGGCCTTGGCTAAGTACAACTTATGTTTATTATTTTTTAAAAATATATTTTATTGATTTTTTACAGAGAGGAAGGGAGAGGGATAGAGAGCCAGAAACATCAATGAGAGAGAAACATGGATCAGCTGCCTCCTGCACGCCCCCCACTGGGGATGTGCCCGCAACCAAGGTACATGCCCTTGACCGAAATCGAACCCTGGACCCTTGAGTCCGCAGGCCGACGCTCTATCCACTGAGCCAAACCGGTTCTGGCTATTTTTTTTAACTTTTTAAAATATATTTTTATTGGTTTCAGAGAGGAAGGGAGAGGGAGAGAGAAATAGAAACATCAATGATGAGAGATAATCATTGATCAGCTGCCTCCTGCATGCCCCTTACTGGGGATCAAGCCTGCAACCTGGGCATATGCCCATGGTTGGAATTGAACCTGGGATCCTTCAGTCCGCAGGCTAACGCTCTATCCACTGAGCCAAACCGGCTAGGGCCATGTTTATTTAAAATAAACATAAGGAGTTCAGCTGGCATGGCTCAGTGGTTAAGCTTCAACCTAGAACCAGGAGGTCATGGTTCAATTCCTGGTCAGGGCACATTCCCAAGTTGCAGGCTCGATCCCCAATGTGGGGCATGCAGAAGGCAGCCTATCAGTGATTCTCTCTCATCACTGATGTTTCTATCTCTCCCTCTCCCTTCCTTTCTGAAGTCAATAAAAATATTTTTTAAATAAATAAATAAACATAAGGAGATTTAGATTTAAAATCTAAAGGGTGAAGAGAGGAAGGCAGACTAGCTAGGAACCTTGGGACCCTATGATAGTAAGTTCCCTGTTTGTTTGTTGTTGTTGTTTTTCACCTCATATATCCTAGACTGGAGCTGAAGAAACTGGCAACCAGAAATACCTACGGGCACAGGTAAAAAAAGTTTCAACAGCCAGACCAGCGTGGCTCAGTGGTTGAACATCAACCTATGAACCAGGAAGTCACGGTTCGATTCCCGGTCAGGGCACATGCCCGGGTTGTGGGCTCAATCCCCAGTGGCGGTGTGCAGGAGGCAGCCGATCAAGAGTCTATCTCATCATTGATGTTTCTGTCTCTCTCTCCTTCTCCCTTCTCTCTGAAATCAATAAAAATATATGTTTTTTAAAAGTCTCAACAAAAGCTTATTCTCTCAAGCCAAAAGGCCAGGAAAGGGGCAGCCTAGAAAGACAGAAAACTTTTAGCCAAGAAGTATTCTACTCCAGCCAAATACCAAAGAATAAAACAAAACAAATAAAAAAAAACTGTGACCCAATTTCCACACATGGCAGCAAAGGCTGAGTGGGGAACCTAGATTTCCACTTTGTGGGACTGTAATGAAATGCCCCCGCCCACTCATCTGGTGGTGTCAGAGAAGGCCAAGTAGGGAGCTAGGACTTTCATCCCTGCTTAATGGTAGCCGCCCCTCCCCGTGCCTATGGTGTCACTGGAGACCATGTGGGGAGCAAGAACTCCCACCTCCAACCAGCAGTAACAAGAAGCCTCCCCCTAATTGGTACAAACAGAAGCTGAGTAGGGAACTGTAGAGAGCGCCTGGGAAGGCGTATGAGCTGATTGTTGGCTGAGTCCAGTGGTGTCAGCAGAGCCATTTCCTGGAAATATACCTTGCCAGAGGCAGGTATGTTGTCAGCCTGACCTTTAGCTCAGGTGCCAGGGGGTGGGTTTCATTATCTAAGTTTAGCCAGGGCCAGGAACGGATGCAATTATCCGGGCTCAGCCAGGAATGACAATTACAAAGAAGCCAAAAGAATGAAGAATTGCAGCTTGATCTTTAACCATGACTTCAGATAATTTCCTTTGTCTTAAACTCTAGTAAAACTTCCTGGTATCATGCTGTATATAATAAACGGGTTGCACTAGCTCTGGGTCACTGTCTCTCCATCTGAGGGCAGCGTCCCACCTGGCCCCAGCCTTACTTAAAGTCTTTGTGTCTGTTTCTTTTTTTCCTTTTCTCAATCCCCAGCCGCCCCTACTCAGGACTCTAGACGTGCTGGTCGAGGCCCAAGAGAGAAAACTTATAGGGAACCTGGACTTCTATTTCCACCTAGCAGTGATGAAATAATGTCCCTGTCTACTCTGCCAGAAAGGTGCCAGAAAAAGCCAGCTAACACAGAAGGTTAAATAAGATCCCAAATCTCTTAATATAATATGAAAATGTCTGGGTTTCAATAAAAAAATCACTCTTCATACCAAAAAACAGAAAAATCTCAAATTGAATGAAAAAAAAGTTAATCAATGGATACCACCACTGAGAAGACAGAAGTTATCAGAGAGAGATTTTAAAGCAGCCACGATAAAAATGCTTCAATGAGTACTCAGAAACACTCTTGAAACATGAGCAACTATAAAGGCTCAATGAAGAAATGGAAGTCATAAAAATCCAAATGGATGTATTAGAATTGAAAGATGTAATAACCAAAATAAAAAGCTCAGTGAATGGGCTCAACAGCAAAATAGAGGAGACAAAGGAAAGAATCAGTGAACTGGAACATAAAATGATAGAAATTACTCAATTGGAACAACAGAAATAATATAGAGCACGAAAAAAAAAAAAGAACAGAGCCCCAGGGACCTTTAGGAGAGGAGAAAGAGAGCAGAGCTAAAAAGTACTGGAAGTAATAATGGCTGAATACTCCCCAAATTGAACATAACATAATATAAACTTACAGATTCAAAAAGCTGAACAAAAACCAAACATGATAAATCCAAAGAAATCCACACCAAAGCACATTATAATTAAAGTTCTGAAGACTAAAGACATAGGAAAAAAATCTTAAAAGTAGCCTGAAAAAAGTGACACCTTACTTATAGAAGAAAAACAATCTGAATGACAGCAGATTCCTCATCAGAGACCATAAAGGCCAATATGTTCTTCAAAAATAAAGGGGAGCTCTAGCCGGTTTGGCTCAGTGGATTGAGCATCAACCTGCTGACTGAAGGGTCCCAGGTTCGATTCTGGTCAAGGGCACATGCTCAGGTTTCAGGTTCAATCTCCAGTGGTGGCAGGGGGGAGGGCGCGGGCAGGAGGCAGCCGATCAATGATTCTCAATCATCACTGATGGTTCTATCTCTCTCTCCTTCTCCTGAAATAAATAAGAATTAAAAATTAAATAAAAATAAAGGGGAAATCAAGACGATCTGAGATGAACAGAAACTAAGAAAATTTGTTTACCAGTGGAATTTCCCTAAAAAAAAAAATGGCAAAAGGAAGTTCTCTAAACAGAAGGAAATGATAAAAGAAGGAGTCTTAGAACATCATAAAGAAAGAACATGGTGATTTCCACAATGTCAGCTATAAAATCAAGCATCCAATTTTTAAAAATGCACTTATATCTAATTATATTCAGTTATATACTAAAATTCAGTTAAATACTAATAATCCCAAATATTTTAAATGTTACTATGGGCAATAAATCCCAGTAAGTTAAAACTATTACTGCTATACTTAAACTCAACAGGTAAAGAGGCTCAACCAATATCACAAGTTAAGCTTATAGCTCACTGCCTCTCCCTTCCACCCGTTGTAGAAGAAGCTTAATTCCGTGCACTAAGGTGGAAAAAAGCAAAACCATAAAACCCTGATTGTGTGCTCTCATGGGTACACATCATGTTGGAAGTTCTTTTTGGCATTTTATTCTCTACTCCATGAGGAAGAAAAGTGGGCTTCCTCATTTTAATTTCAAACTAGCAACTGTGAAAAATGCCCTTTATACCTTATTTCTCCAGAATTAAACACTCCCAAATCCTGAAGCTTCCCCTCAAGGAAATCAGTCCTTGGACACCTCTGGACCGTCTACATGTTAAAATGGCTGCAGAGTCACCAGAGATTCCCTGGGGACCACAGTGCTCTAAGGAAGGTCGGCCACATGCAGACAATGGACAAGGCAACTGTGGGACAAAGCTTACAGTCTCCATCTCCATCTACTTGGTGCCGCCCTAAAGAGTTTCTTCCCTCTCTTCTGCAGGGTTTCTTCCTCCCACTAAAGCCAATATGCAGGGACCAGGGTGCTCAGATCCCAAACCCTTATCAAAACAACACAAAATCTGTAATACTGTCAACAATAAAATAAAATAAAAAACAACACAGAAAGGGGCCTCACCCCAAGAAACATAATTCCTTTTAGTTTTAAGAATATAAGGTTGTCCCTACCTTGTTATACTTCCACTAAGCCTCTGAAAGCAAAGCCTTCCTCTACCATAGGATAGGGGTGATGCCAAGACTCCATGCTCCTAGCTGCCACATAATGACTATCAGCTACATTTGTTCCGAATTCCCTCTCATTCTTTTTTTCTTTTTTTAAATATTTTATTGATTTTTTACGGAGAGGAAGGGAGAGGGATAGAGAGTTAGAAACATCGATGAAAGAGAAACATCGATCAGCTGCCTCCTGCACACCCCCTACTGGGGATGTGCCCGCAACCCAGGTACATGCCCTTGACCGGAATCAAACCTGGGACCCTTCAGTCCGCAGGTCTACGCTCTATCCACTGAGCCAAACCGGTCAGGGCTCCCTCTCATTCTTTACCATCTCTGCCCATTTGCATTCTATGGGTGTTAGGCAGATCCCAAATACTATGCAATAGCCCAATTGCATAGCCCAATTCGACAGATATGTTGCCCATTTTCTCCTTACTCCACTGCTTGACCTGATGTTCTGGCTACAAAAGAATGTTCATGCCTGGTCCAGCCTTCATGCAGAGTCTGGAGAAAGTCAGAGTGTGCATATGCATGTGTGTCTATTTTCCCTCATCTAGTTCCATGCTTCTGAGTTATAAAGGAAATTACAATAAAATGAAGGTTACTACCAAGAGGCTGAACTGAACAGGTGATCCACTCTAAAGTATACATTATTAACCACCTCTACAATTAGGCACCCAACACCTGCACAGGGCAATGGGAGCTTTTCTCTGGGGACTCCAGATGTTGGAAAGAGATCTGAGGAAAAGACCAAGAAAGACTATGTCTTGCAGTGTTAGGTTATTGTCCTCAAGATAAACTCAAAGGAAGAGCGATTCTAGCTCAGTTTGCCTTTTAGACCTAAAAGCACAACTTCGGGAATCAGCATTAATAAAACATATTTTAATCTCATTGAGACTTAAAAGCAGAATAAACTAGATGTTCACTGCAGAACAAATTTTTAAGATTAAACTTATTGTTCTAATGCAACACTCAGCCATCTGATAAAAGGTACCAACCTTGCTCACCTTCTCTATCTGTTACTTATGGCCAGATTCTGAAAGAGTAGCACAGATGAAAAGACTTACCTTTTTTTTAAATACTGTTTCATCCCATGCCTGGAGGCTTAGAATGGAGTCATTCATCATTTTTTCTTTGTATATGTTTATTTTTTCTTTTTCAATTACATCATCATTACTAGTCAGAAGGAAGCATTTGCTACCTCTTGCTCTTCCTCTGCCTGTCAAAAATAAATATTTCATTCGGTGCCTTTGATTTAAAGCTCTGATGAATCTGAGCATAGGTAAGCTAGGGGGAAAGGGGAAAGGGCATTCCTAAAGTGCAACTCTGGTTCACTGAATCCCGCTTTCCAGGGAAGCTGAGCCGAGCTGTCAGAGCACAGACCAAGATGTGGGTGTGCACCAGCCCGCTAGGCCTGCAGATGAACTGGGAGCCCGCCACAGACTGGCTTCCTCGCAGTCTCCGTGCTGCAGTGTGATCAGACAGCCACACTATCAGAAACACTGCTTGACAGAGAGTCCAACATGAACCCGCAGGATGACACTGTGAGGGCTCTCAGGTGAATAATAACAGATCCTCCCTCAGGAGCCTTCTAGGAAATGGGGAAATAAGCTATGTTCACAACCACAGGAATATAGGTGGAAAATGAGAAGCGCTGAAAGACATAAAGTTACGGATGTTCAAAAGAGAGATGACTGACAGCTGGGGGAACTTGGGACAGGTGATAGGGAGGAGGAGGTAAACGATCATCAGTAGCAGTACATGAGCAATTCCTTCAACAAGGAGAAAATGATGGAGTCAGGTTGGCTGAAGTGAATCATGAATAAAGGGAAAGAATTGGAAAGATAAATGGGTGCTCGATTTGAAAATTCTGTAACATCAAGCTTGGCTGGTGTGGCTAAGTGGTTGAGCGTCGACCTATGAACCAGGAGGTCACAGTTTGATTTCAAGTCAGGGGGCTCCATCCCCAGTGTGAGTGTGCAGGAGGAAGCCGATCATTGATTCTCTCTCATCATTGATGTTTCTATCTCTCTCTCCCTCCTCTGAAATAAAAAATATATATATTTAAAAAAAACACAACTCTGTAACATCAAGAAAATTGGGGAACCACTGCAGTTTCTATACAGGGAAGTGACACGTTCAGAGCTTTTTCCAGGAAAGGTAATGTGGCAGCTGCTGTTACAGAAATTGAAAAAGGAAGAGAGACTAGTTAGGAGACTCTGGTGCAAGTGGGACAGAGAGCTCCTTGGACCCAGCGGGCCCAGCGGCACCACACGCACAGCCAGGAGAGGTGTGCATGCCGACTGCCAAAGCCCCAAACCAACGGGAATTATCCTAAAAACATGTCCATCAGTGTTGGCCACGTACACAGTTTTCATTGTGAACAAGAATTAAAATAGCGGACAAAACCGTAGCCACCCAATCCTGGCCCAATAAGTCACCTTTTGGGCAGTGATACCAGAGTCCACTGTGCCACTGGCCACACACACAAGCAGGACTCGGTAAAGGAGAAAGGCCGGAACGACAGGTACACTCACAAGTCAGACAAATTGGCTGACATTTAAAACAGCACCAAAGCTTCTCTCACCTCTGGTTTGGATCATTTTGATGACATTGCCCACGTACTCGTATAGGATGACCAGATTGCACTGTGCAATGTCGATGCCTTCATCAGCAACGGAGGTGGCGATCAGAATCTTCTTATCGCCACTGGCTCGGAATGCATCCAGTACACACTTCTGTGCTGGGAGGGTCATTCCTGTGCCAGAGTCAGAGGGCATTACAACTCACCAAAGAGGGAATTTTACTCTTGAAGAAAAGCAGCTATTAACTATGGAATGCTTACTGCATGCCAGGGACTGTGATAAGTGCTTTGTATTCATGATCTCTCAACAACCCCAGGCTGTAGGGCATATCCTATCATCGCTAGAGAGAGCACATGTAGGGTGGTGCAACTTGGACTCTGCCACAACACTGCCTGAGTTCAAATTCCAGCGGCGGCATTTACCAGCTGTGTGGCTTTAGTTGTGTTGTCTCAAAACAAATACTGATTAAAAGAATATATTAACTAATCGTAATACCTTTGCAAGTGTATAGGAGTTTACAGCTGACAAAACATTTTCATCTACTTACTCACGGGAACCTCACAAAGCTCTCTTAGGTTGGCGTGGCAAGTGTCACCATTCCCCTTCACAGATGAGGACCTTGAGGCTTTTGGGACTATGATAACTGACAGGCTAGCTTGCAGCAGAACCTGGCCTTGAATTTTTAAGTCTAGGATCCTAAGAGTGAGCAGTTCTCGGCCACTGATATAATGAGAGGAGAAAGAACTTCAGTGACCCCCACTTTAGAGTTAATAGAATTTATAAAAGTTCCATTTCTTTCCTAGTATATCGGCTGTCAAAAGCTTGAGATATACTTTGTGAAGGACAAAACAACTTCAAGACAGACACCATACTTCATTAATTTCATTCATTTGTTCATCAAACATTTATTCGGCATTATGGCTTGTCAGATAAGAATACAATGGTTAAAGGTCCACTTTTACCTACAAGGAGCTCCTAGTTTGAGGAAGAGGGGTATAATAGGAAGCTATAGTTCCACGTGACGAGCAATGAAGTGGAGGCAGAATGGATGCTGTGGGAATGTGGAAGGCTGTCTGGCAGAAGTGTTGGGGGCCAGATGTAAGCTGGCAAGGTCCTTGCACCTGTAGGGGCTAGCAAGGCTGGGATTCTCACCCACACAGTTTTCCCAGACTTGTTTGGATGGCGTTTATCAGTAGAATAAGAGCAACATTTGTAGAGCCTTTCATAGCTTACCAAGAAGTCTGTAATTATTTACTGAGATATACTGTACTGAGAACTTGTCCTTCTGCTGTGTCCCTCCCTTAGAGATTAAGAGGAACAAAGAATACATTCCTCTTGACAGACCTCCTATTCAGTGTGCTGTGTATAAATAAGATTGTGTGACTAATAAACTCGCTTCAGTTCATCAAGAGAACTGGGGTCCTCCCGATCCCGCTTTCCTGTCTTTCTTTCTTTTCTCAATTCCCACCTCCCTGCCTCAGCCCGGCTCAACCCTGTCAGGCTGGCCCTGACAGATCTGGCGCCCGAGCTAAGGGACTGAGGAACTGGGAAAAAGACGGTGAGGAACTCCGTCGGGCTTGGAGAGACGACGGTGAGAAACTCCTCCAGATAAAGAGTGCACTCGTTAAGGTAAGGGAGGAGCAAATTTTTTGGTAATCGGGAGTAAAGCATGGGGCAATTAGAATCTAGAGAAAATGCTCTTTATGGGCAAATGTTAAAGTTTATGCTCAATAGTAAAGGAACTAAGGTTAATGACAAGCAAGTAGAAAATTTTTTAAAATTCATTCAGGAGGTCTGCATTTCCTTATCGAATTTAATACGGGATTATTTAGATCCCAGACATGACCATAATCAACCGTCTCTTAAGCCAGAAGAAAAAAAGAAGCAGTGTGATAGCACAAAACAGGGGTCTAAAAAAGACAGTATATTAAAAAGAAATAATGTAACTTTTAAAGACAATTTAACTCCTCAAGATGAGGAGGATTTTGAGGAAGCTGCTGCTCTTTGTCATGATGATAATACAGGTATTGTTCAGGCAAAAGAGGAGGAAAAATGTTTTTCTGCTGGAACTGAAGAGGGCAGTGATATAGAGGATGTGTTGGAATGCTTTTTAGAAAAATTAAAGCTTCTTGGCAAGAAAAAGAGAAGCCGCGGGGGCTGTTCCCGCCGCTCTCCGCTGCCTTGCGCAGCACCAGTTCCACTTTCCCCTCTCCAGATGGCTTTGCAGGAGGCACGAAAGTGTGGTGAGGAATTGGACATTCACGCCTTCCCTGTTATGAAACAGGTGAACCCTCACACGGGACAGCGTGAGCGTGCTTATGACCCGCTTCCTTTTAAAACCTTAAAAGAGTTAAAAACAGCCTGTGCTCAGTATGGGCCCACTTCCCCTTATACTTTAACCATCTTGGAAACTATGGCCTCAGAGGCTCTCCCACCTAATGATTGGAGAGCTATTGCCAAGGCTTGTTTATCAGGAGGGGATTATCTCTTGTGGAAATCAGAATATGATGAAAAGGCTAAGGAGCAAGCTTCTCGTAATCGAGCTGCCCAGATTAATATTTCTTATGAAATGCTAGTAGGTGAAGGAGTCTATGCTGATACCCATAATCAAATTCAATACCCCCAGGAAGCTTATGGACAGATTAATGGAGCTGGGATTAAAGCCTGGAAAAAGTTACCCACCTCTGGTCAGAAAACAGAGGAGCTCTCAAAAATTATTCAAGGGCCAGATGAAAAGTATCAGGATTTTGTCTCTCGGCTATTACAGGCTGTTGGCCGAGTAGTGGTGGATGGAGAGGCTGGCATGTTAATAGTTAAACAGTTGGCATATGAAAACGCCAACACTGCCTGCCAAGCTGCACTGCGGCCCTATCAAAGACAGGGGACTCTCTCAGATTATATCCGCATTTGCGCAGATATTGGTCCCTCATATATACAAGGAGTTGCCATTGCGGCTGCATTAAAGGGAACCACCATTGAAGGAATTCTTCAGCAACAATTTAGCACAGGGAAAAGTCAAACACACAAGTGTTACACTTGTGGAGGAACAGGACACATAGCAAAACAGTGTCCTTCTAATAAAGGGGTTAATAAAGGAAATGGCAGAGGTCCCAAACAACCTGGACTATGCCCTAAATGTAAAAAAGGAAAACATTGGGCAAATGAGTGTAAATCTAAGATGGATGTCCAGGGAAATTCTTTGTCTCAACACCAGTCGGGAAACTACCAAAAGGGGCCAGCCCAGCCACGGCAAATAACAGGGGCATTGTCTATTTACCCTCCTGTCTCTATGCCATCTCAAGGCCAGCAGGCTGCACAGTACCCAGCCTGCCACAGAAAACAAAATAGATACAAGAGCTATTCCGAGCAACCCCCGGAAGTACCGGGCTGGACCTTGGATCCATAGAGATGAGACATTCTATCTGCCCTGGGTGCTGCCCTTGCCTACTGAAATAAACAAAATATCATTAGATTTAAAACCTCCCACATAGAGAAGAAATGATGATTTCCTTGCATTTCCGATACAGCTACAGCAAATGCCACCGGATCTGAAATTTAAAAATACGTCTGGGATTTCTGTACACGTGTAAAGAGAAAACTAGCTTGGAACTGAGGCGCGCATTGTCTGATTTTGGACATTTAGATAGAGTTCTAAGCTGAAATCTCTTTGCAAATATACAAAATAAAACCCAAGACTGATTATTTCCTAACAAAAATAGCAAATTTGACCCAAAGGAAAAAAGATGCAGCTAGATTCTAGCAGCAGGATTGGCATTTCCATAATAAAGAACAGTTTTTAAATACTAATAAAGGGTGTTAAAAGGTTAACTTCAAGGCTGAAAAGGAAATTCAGTAAAATTGTCTCTGTTACAAAAATTTGCTAAAGAATATACCTTAAAATAATAAATTGGATTTAAATCTCAAGAATTATTGAAATATATTAATTATAAAAATCTAAGTAGCCCAGGTAAAAGACGGCTACGCCCTTTAATTAAGGCTGGCTTCCCAAAGCAATTTCTAATAGAGGAAGGGCTAGCCTCCCTTCCCCCAACAGAGCAGGTAGGCCAAAAATTTCCCGCCAGTGACAACTTTTAAAGAGAGGCTTGCTTCTCAGTTTCCCATCCTTAGTAGAAAGAATGTAACTAATTTGCATTTTAATGGTTACCTGTTTCCAGTCAATGGCAGCCCAAGGCTTTGAGAGTTAGCTAAATTGAATTAGATATTCTGAAATAACTAAATACTAAAATATTAATCTAAATTTCCCTCACAAAAAATCTAAAGGATAGAATTAAATCTATTGATTATGTCATGTATTTTTAAAGTTTATTCTTAAAAATGTTACTGATTAAGAAATGCTAGATATTTAACTTGCCAACCGAAAGTTTAAAGTTCTGGTTAAATAAATTGGGAGAAATCATATAATTATAATAAAATTTCAACATTTGTCTAATTGAAAAAAGAGGATAAATTCTGTTATCCCAACCAAAAATTTTAAATACAAAGATCAGTTTTAATTTAATTGATATCTTTTAATAATTATAAAAGGTATATAATCTTTAAATTATATACACATATATATTTAATACTCTTTTAAGTTAGATTTCAAAACTATAATCAAGGAATGACTTTAGGACATTTCATGGGCCCTGAAATGTTTTCAAAAATTTATTCTCTTTTCTTAAAGGATTTTTTAATAAAGCCAATTTAATATACTTGAAATCACATAGAAAACTTTATCAAATAAATATTAATAAATATATATTTTAAGTTTTGCCTCTAAGAAAGGGCAAAACAAGTTATCTTATTTAATATTTCTTAAAATACAACAGTAGAATTTTAAGATATAATTTAAAATAACAAAAGCTCATTAATAATTTTTAATATTTTACAACAGCATATTATACATTTATTCCAAACAAACTTACAAACTAATTGTTTGGCAGCAATTTAATAAGAACATGAAAGGATTTTATCCCTTCCACTGTGTGGAAGGCCTCCTGGGAAGGCACTTAAGCATTCTATATTGACCTCTCTTGACCTTTTTGCCAAGGGGGTCCCTCTTCCAATTGCCTACAACTGTTGCCTAAGCTCTCTGTTCATACTGAGGTTGAAGCCTCATGGTGGCTGGTACCATGAATCTGTCTCTTGCCCAATAGCATAAGCTGGGCCCTCTCTGGAGAACAAACCTGGGTTCCCCATGATCAATGCCAGGGCCCCGCCAGCAGGCGAGGGGATCCTAAGGCAGTTACTGGGCATGAAGGCCACAGGGGCATACGCTATCAAGGAGACAGAACTAAACCTCACATCACCCTGCTTGGCCCCGGAGGATGGCTGGTTAGTCAATGACGGGTAAGACCCCTCAGGGAGGGGCGACCTAAGACAGGCACAGTCGCAGGGGGCCTCAGGGGAGAACTTGGGGGTCAACAGAGGTGGGGCACAGATCCTCACTCACCCCCCCAACTATGCAGGGGCTTGAACACTCGCCCCTTCTAAGGGAGGTCTCCTGTCCCCATGGCTGCTGCGCTTCCCATGCCCAGCTCAGATCGGGACCTAGATACCAGAAAGAGACTTAGCCCAGCCAAGATCAATACCCAGAAAACAGAGACTTAGCTAACAGCAACTACCCTATATCTAAATCCAGCTTAACACCAGGAATGCTCAAGGCCTTCTCAAGGATGCAAAATAATCCTTTCCATTAATATTTACAGTATAAACTAAGATTGTTATTAAAGTATTAAATTTGACAGTAAAATAGTAGTCAAGTTTTCAGATTAATTAAAACTAGCTCAAGAAGTATTAACCAAAATTATCATTTCATGGAAAAATTGCTTAACATACAATAAACCTAAAGCAGTCATATTTTTGTACAAAAAATTAAAATTTAAAGTTATCTAGACTGCATTATAAAATTTCCAAAAGCCTCCTAATAATTAAATTTAAAAAAAAAAGGGGGGCGGGAGGATAGTGGAAAGATAGTGGAAAAATACCATGTAAGGAAAAATATCCTGTAACTAATTTACATCTAGAAAAATTTTTTTTATTTGTAATGCTAACAGCAAGACACCCATAAAAAACACATATGGTGTCAAATAAGCCAAAGGAAAATCGTTTGGACAAAAATTAAAAGAATCCCAACTCTAAATTATAAATATGATTCCTTTATTAACCTTTGGTCGAGAATACGTTTTTATATTTTCAGAAAACAACTCCAAGACCATATGGATTCCTGCAACAGAAGAGAATTATCAGGACTGCTCCAGCCACAGAATAGCAGTGGCCCCGTGAGACAACAAGAAGAGAAGCAGTCCAGAAATAAAGATGGTGAAGACGCCTTATCATGCTAGCAGTCAGCAGCTGTGAGTCGCTGCAGGTTGCCCAGGACCAAACCAGAGAGGGTCGGACCTGCATTGCCACCATTTGTCCACCATCCAGAACTGAAATATTACTGCTGACATGTATACATAAAAAACTGTCAGACACTGAAACATGAACTTTGCCTAAAAAACAAAGAAGGGGGATCTGTTGGGGGCCAGATGTAAGCTGGCAAGGTCCTTGCACCTGTAGGGGCTAGCAAGGCTGGGATTCTCACCCACACAGTTTTCCCAGACTTGTTTGGATGGCGTTTATCAGTAGAATAAGAGCAACATTTGTAGAGCCTTTCATAGCTTACCAAGAAGTCTGTAATTATTTACTGAGATATACTGTACTGAGAACTTGTCCTTCTGCTGTGTCCCTCCCTTAGAGATTAAGAGGAACAAAGAATACATTCCTCTTGACAGACCTCCTATTCAGTGTGCTGTGTATAAATAAGATTGTGTGACTAATAAACTCGCTTCAGTTCATCAAGAGAACTGGGGTCCTCCCGATCCCGCTTTCCTGTCTTTCTTTCTTTTCTCAATTCCCACCTCCCTGCCTCAGCCCGGCTCAACCCTGTCAGGCTGGCCCTGACAGCAGAAGCACAATGACTGGCTAAGTTCTAAATAAATGTGGCTGGATGGATGAATAACTGAGGAAACAAATAAGAAAATATTTTCTGAGTGTTTATTTGTGGGGAAATAACAAAGGTGGAAAATCATATAGGACTCATGTTGGAGTCAGATGGTAAAGAACTTTGACCACAAGAATCTGTGGTGTTCAGCTGGAGAAAGATAAATATCACATGATCACACTCATTTGTGGAATATAATGAACATAAACGGATGAACAAAAATAGAGCCAGAGTCATAGAACCATCTAACAGATTATCCAACCTAAAAGGGAAAGCAGGGGAGTGGGGCGGGGTGAGAGATCAACCAAAGGACTTGTACACATGAATATGAGCATAACCAATGGATAGAGACAGTAGGGGGGGTGAGGGCGCGTGCTGGGGGGTTGGGAGTGGCTGGGGAGAGGTCAATGGCGGGGGGGGAGACATATGTAATACTTTAAACAATAAAGAATTTTAAAAAAAGAATCTGTGGTGTTGGACTTCATTTGGTATGCCAAATTTTCAAAATCTGAATTTGCCCTTTAGAGTCACGGAATTTAAAATTTGTATAAGGGGGAAGTGCAAGGGTGATGATTGAGGACTGACAGGGTGGGAACTGCTTATCATAACACTAAAGAGGAGGAACAGAGAGGAGCTGGCATTGCTGGTCACTGAGGCGTGGGGAGCACGGCTGTGAGAATGCCAGGTGAGGGCTGGCCACCTGGCTCCTCCTGGATAACCACAGAGGCAGCTTTACCTCCTCTGACCACCCTCGCTAGAGTTCAGGCTTGTCTACTTGGACTATTTTTAAACTCAAAGTATATAATACACACAAAAGCATCTATAGTTTAAAGAACAATAAAGCAGAAACAGAGCATTTCTACTTCCAGTTAATCTACTGGTTGAGCAGAAGAGTGACATGCTCAAACAATATGTAAAAAAAAGGATGGGAGGAGGCAATGTCTGCAACTTTCTGGCATGTGAGCATGTGATAGCCTTTTGATGTCAACTTGCCTAGGCTGAACTACAGTCCCTAGTGGGATTTGCAGTTGTAATTAAAGTTCTTAATCAGTTGACATTAAGGGAATCAACAGGGGCTTCACCCTAGGTGGGCCTAACCTAATCAATAATACTGATTAGGTATTAGTATTAGAAAAGGGCTTAGGTCAGTGATGGCGAACCTATGACACGCGTGTCAGAGGTGACACACGAACTCATTCTTTTGGTTGCTTTTTCTTTGTTAAATGGCATTTAAATATATAAAATAAATATCAAAAATATAAATCTTTGTTTTACTATGGTTGCAAATATCAAAAAAATTTAAATTTCTACATGTGACACGGCACCAGAGTTAAGTTAGGGTTTTTCAAAATGCTGACACGCCGAGCTCAAAAGGTTCGCCATCACTGGTTTAGGTATTTCCTGAGCTCAGGACTTCAAACAGCTCATGGCTATGGGGTTCCAGCCTGCTCCTGACCACCTACCCTGCAGACCTCAGACATGTTTTGCCAGTACAATTGTGTATGCCAGTACCTTGTAATAAATCCCTGTGTGTATGTATATGCACGTATCTGTGTGTGTGTGTGTGTGTGTGTGTGTGTGTGTGTGTGTGTGTGTATATATATATATATAAATAAAATCTCCTACTGGTTTTGTTTCTTTAGTTGAACCCTGATACAAACATAAAAAAGATTCAATAGATTACATATATTCTTATATATAGTATACCATATATAAATACCTATGTTCTGACTTGTTTTGCCACGTCCAGTCAGAATGTCAGGTTTTAGAAAGCTGAGTATAGAATTTTCCTCAATCCATTTCTTTAAAGCCTGAAAACGAAAAGCAATTTTCAGTTAGGCCCAATTTGTATGCCATCTGTATTAATTCAATACTGAAGTATATGCAAGAAGGAAAAAAACATGTTAAGTTAGTATACAGACAGTTTTCAGATTGATAAATCTAAGAAAACTGCTTCTTGGAATTGAATTCTATGCAATTATTAACCATAAACGTACAAATCTTTGTCATCGAAGATATTTTTAGTGATAAAAGCAAAGTTTAGATTGAAAGTGGGCATGTAAAACTAAAAAGTGAGTTTAGCAAGATCTAGGACACAAGATCAGTAGACAGAAATCAGTTGTATTTCTATATACCAGCAACGGACAAAAGAACCATTTACAACAGCATTAAAAAGTAATACTAAGGTATAAGTCTAACAAAATACGTGCAGAATCTGTATGCTGAAAACAACAAAACACTGATAAAAGGAACCAAAAAAGATGTGGTAGGTGGCATCGGAGGTAGCCCTCAACAATGTTTCCCCTGGTATTCAGATCCTTGTGTCCCTTCCCCTCAAGTGTGAATTGAACTTATTAACTTGCTTCTAATTAATAAAATAGGACAGATATGATGAGGTATCACTTCCCAGTTGAAGTTATAAAATGACTGTGACTCCATATTAGGCATTCTTCCTCAATCTCCCTTGGATCACTCACTCAGGGAAAGCCAGCTACCATGCAGCCTGTGGAGAGGCCCAAGTGAGTGAGCTTAGAAGCACATCTTCTGCCTGGCTGGCCGTGGCTCAGTGGTTGAGTGTCAACCTATGAACCGGGAGGTCACCGTTCGATTCCCGGTCAGGGCATATGCCTGGGTTGCAGGCTCAGTCCCCAGTGTGGGACTATAGGAGGCAGCTGATCAATAAGTCTTTCTCATTATTGATGTTTCTATCTCTCTCACTCTCCATTCCTATCTGAATGGAGATAAACCAATAAAAATGTATTTTTAAAAAAAGCAGCACATCTCCTGATGCTGCCAATAGACATCTCAGTGAGGTGGAAGTTGATCCTCCCAATTCAAGCCTTGAGATGACTGCAGCCATGGCCAACACCTCACTGCAGCCTCATGAGACGCTGAGCCAGAACCACCCAGTTAAGTTGTTTCCGCTTCCTGACCCATAGATATTGTAAGATAATAGATGTTTGTTGTTCCCAGTCACTAAGTTTTTTTTGGGGGGGGCAATTTGTTGTCAGCAATAGGTAACTAATATAGAATCCCTATATAAATGAAGAAATGTACTATGGTCATGGATTGGAAGACTCGACATTATTAAGATGTCATTTCTCCCTAATATTGTTTGTAGATTCAATGCAATCCCAAAAGAGATCCCAAGTAGACTTTTTCATAGATGTGGACAAGGTGATTCTAAAATATAAATGGAAAGACAAAGAAAGACAGCTAAAACAATTTCAAAGAAAAGAAAAAGTTAGAGAACTCATACTAGCTGATTTCAAGACTTATTATAAAGCTATAGCAATCAAGACAGTGTGGGATTATAACAATAAAAAATGGACAATTTACTTCTGTTTCAACACAGATAGATCTCAAAAACATTATGCAAAAGAATTAAGTAAAATGAAAACAGTCACAAAGGTCCACTATTTTCCGGTTTTATCTACATGAAATGTCCAGAATAGGCAAATCTATAGACAGAAAGTGATAAGCGATTACTTAGGACTCCGTAGAATTTTGATGAGGAGTGATTGCAAATGAGTGGGGACTTTCTTTGTGGGGAGATTGAAATATTCTAAAATTAGATTTTGGTGATAGTTGCATTACTCTGTAAATATACTAAACAAAGTAGTACTATATAATTTATATGGATAAACTCTAAGGAATAAAGATTACCTATAAATAAATCTAGTATTAAAAAAAAGACAGTGTGGGATGGGTGAAAGGACAGACATATAGATAAATGGAGCAGAATAGAGAATCCAGAAATAGATCCACATAAATACAGTCAACTGATTTTTTTTAAAGTTACAAAGACAATTCAATGGAGAAAGAATAGTCTTCTCAATATACAGTGCTGGAACAACTGGATGATCACATACAAAAAGAAAAAAAAAGCATCTCAACCCATACCTCAAAGTGGATTGGAGAGCTAACCATAAAACGTAAAAGCTTCTAGAAGATAACACAGAGAAAACCTCTGTGGTTGTGGGTGAGCAAAGTGCTCTTAGATACAATACCAAAAGCTCAATCCACAAAAAGAACACATTGATTAACTGGACCTCATCAAAAGTTAAAACTTTCCATCTGTAAAAGATACTGTTAAGAGAATGATAAGACCAGAAGAAAAAATTTCAAATCACGTTCCCAACAGAGGACTTTTGTCAGAATACAAGATCACTTAAAAATAACATGATAAGCCCTAGCCGCTTTGGCTCAGTGGATAGAGCGTTGGCCTGCGAACTGAAAGGTCCCAGGTTCGATTCCGGTCAAGGGCACATGCCCAGGTTGTGGGCTCGATCCCCAGTGGAGGACTTGCAGAAGGCAGCCTATCCTTGATTCTCTCTCATTATGGATGTTTCTATCTCTCTTTCCCTCTTCCTTCCTCTCTGAAATCAATAAAAATATATATTTTTAAAAAAATAACATGATAAACAATCCAGCTACACCCATTTTTAAATGGGCAAAAAATGTGACCAGACACTTCACCAAAAAAGATGTGTGGATAGCTAATAAGTATATGAAGAATGTTAAATAGTATTAGTTATTAGTTAAATGCAAATTAAAACTCTAGTGAGATATCACTACATACCCATAGAATGGTTAAAATTTTTTTAAATCAATGAAAAGAATAAAAAACATATAAAGGTATCAAGACATCATTATAAACTAGAGTAATTACAACAGTGAAGTAAAGAAAAGACAATCTTTTCAATAAAATGGTACTGCTCAATTTGTTATCCACAAGGAGGAAGAAGCTTACATCCACAAGTGCTCTGGTTTTCACAAAGAGAATGGTTCTGGTCTCTGGGTTTAAGTGGTACTCCTCTTGCAAGATGAAGCAGAGGTCCTTCAGTTTAGGGTTCTCATTGCTGGGATCCATAGAAATGCTCTCTAGTTCTTGCAACTTTTCTGCAAAAGGAGAACGTTTTGTAAACAACTTATAAATTCTAGAAATTTAGAACACACTGGGACTTTCAGCTATAGTTCCGTTAATCTCTTAATCTGACCAGAATTGTGTAAGTGAAAACCACCAATTGAATGCATACATTATTAGTAAATACACCAATAAATGCATATATTTTGTTTCCCCCCCCCGAAGAGCTGGTTGTTCAATGTTTAGCAGCACATCACTGGGTTACACATATGTGTAAGTAAATACTTCAGTATAGGCCCCCCAAAATTATTTTTTTTAATTTTATTTTACTGTTTAAAGTATTACAAATAGTAGTACATATGTCTCCTTTTTTTCCCCATTTCCCCCCAAATTATTAACAGCAATTACCTTTGGGGGAAAAATAGGGGAGAAGGAGAAGGAAGCCTTACTTTTCATTTAATATCTTCCTATATTTTTCTTAATATGAGGGAGATGGGATTATGAGCCATTTTGGTTTTCCTCTTTACATAGAAGTATATATAAATTACAGTATTTTAATATCATTAAAACACCTTTTTTTGTAGTTTGTAAATCTTTATAAAATTACTGAAAGTAAAATCAAAATATGCTACTATTAACTATTTCCATGAAATATGTCCTTTGCAAGTCCTACTATTTTTCCTTCTTCAGAATTGGAACTAGGGTAAGCCACAGGTTCTTTCCTTTAGTACCAGATTTCACTGAAGCTCCATGGTCCGGCCATCTGCGTAAGCCCAGGACAACATTCTGCCTGAGCATCACCAAATGCTCAATACAATGCCGCACAATTATGCTATCACTGCAGTCACCAGGCTGCATGGCTTCCTCCTCCGGAAACACCACCCACCTTCAAATCTGCGAGTGAGATCTTGCTCTATCTCATCAAATCCTGCTGAGCGGACATTGCTGAAGAAGTCTTTCAAGTAATCCAGAGCATCTTTCGTCCGTGCATGCTCATTGATAAGGAGGGCATCATTAAATTTCTGTTTAAAATGAAAACGGAGTTTCAATGTATTTCTAACGTCCAACACATCTGCTGTACTTAAGTTCAATGAGCTGTAACTTGGCATGGAATTAATTTTAAGAATAAACTTTTCTCAAATATGTTCCAACTTAGTTTTTTTTAAATGAACAGTCCCTTATGGTACTTAGTGAAATCTTGGAATCAAATACTGTTTCCAAAAATTCTCAGTTAGCTAGAATCAATAATTAATTAGGATCACTTTGGATTCTAGAGGTCTACCTTGGAAGAGAAAAAGAAAATTACAAGAAAAATGCATGTCAAAGACTAAAAGCAAATCAACTTCCATATCAATCTGTCTCAAAATTCAGACATTCAACTCAATCCCTTTATACATCTAAAGTCATCACTGAATGGTGATTGCGCCTGCTCAGAATGATGGCGCTTGACCACCTACACCAAATATTACGTTCATTAAAATTCTATAAATGCATTCTGGTTGAGTGTATCCTAAAATATCCGTATTTTCCTGTGCACATGTGGCTCTATCCGAGGTAGGAATACATGTTTCAGGATAGGGCAACAGGAGTCTCGTACTGAACTTTAAGGATGGCTGTCACCAGTCACATATCTACAGTAATGTTCATCCTCACCCAACTTTTCCTAATTGTGTCAATCATGGGAATGCTGGAGGCACAGCCTAGAGCAGGGATGGCGAACCTTTTGAGCTCGGCGTGTCAGCATTTTGAAAAACCCTAACTTAACTCTGGTGCCGTGTCACATATAGAAATTTTTTGATCTTTGCAACCATAGTAAAACAAAGATTTATATTTTTGATAGTTATTTTATATATTTAAATGCCATTTAACAAAGAAAAATCAACCAAAAAAATGAGTTCGCATGTCACCTCTGACATGCGTGTCATAGGTTCGCCATCACTGGCCTAGAGCCTCCCCTTGTCCATCCTATTGCCTCCAGTGTTAAGTTCAGAAAGCAGACAAAGACGATGCTGAATGGGGTAATTTTTGGAGTCTGCTTCATAAGAATCTTCTGGAAAGTTCCTATATGAGCTGTGGGGGCAGGATGAAAAATTGATGTTCCCTCCTCGGCTGCCACAGCACAGCTCCCAGTAGGTGCTACAACTAAAATATGCCTGACTAGCCCTGGCCGGTAGCTCAGTTGGTTAGAGAATCATCCCAATATGCCAAGGTTGTGGGTTTGATCCCAGGTCAGGGCACATACAAGAATCGACCAAAGAATGCATCAATAAGTGGAACAACAACTCAATGTCTCTCTCTCTCTCTCTCTCTCATCAATAGATAAAAAATAAAATATGCCTTTCCAAAGAAGCAACGTACCCGCAGATGTGAAGTGTACAAAAACAGCGCTGTACAAATCCTGCTCTCCTTGTCTTTGTCTGGCAGGTGCAGCACTGCACACTTTTTCTGAACTGCAACGATCCACTGTTCATATTTCTGTGTTCCATAATTCCTGTTTTGAATCTGAGATAAGTTTTCTGGAAAGAAAAAGTTTTTCATTGTGTCATATGTCAGTCATTTCAGGTTCTAAGCATGCCTTACCCTCTAATTTTCTTTCTTATTCTGTTCACAGAGTGGTCAGGGTTCAGCAGTCCGGGCTCTGTGCAGGTGCTGGGGCCTCGGTAAAGGAGGAGGGACACCCAGGCCTGTCCTCCAGGAGCTCAGTCTGCGAGGGACTCTAGGAACAGTCAGTTCTCAGGGCTCCCTGGGAAGAGCACAGTCCAATAAAATTCACAGGAAGAGCTCTATTTCTGGGCTAAAATGTTCCTCTTTTTAAATAAAAGGAACAAAAGAGGCTTCTGAGACAAGTGGCCTTGACATGCTTCTTCCCCAGGCCAACTACAAAGAGGTGGCCAGCAGTAAACTACATGAATCAACAAGTATTTACTGAACTTGGGGAAGCATGAAAATAAGCAAAGCTGTGGTCAGGGAGGTATATGGGAAATCTCTGTACATTCTGCTCAATTATGCTATGAACCTAAAACTGCTCTAAAAAAATAAAGTCTAGTAAAAAAATGAGCTAAGCAATCCAGAAATGAACAGTTGACAGGATTTGGACTGGCAAAAAGGAGGAGGTAGGATATTAGAGATGGAGGGAATAAGAAGGTAGAAATTCAAGCCCCCTCCCCAGGTCAGACCACGTCATAACACTCCTGGGTGATATCATGGCCTCCTAACTGGTCTCCCCACTTCTCCCCGGATTCCCTCCAACCCATTCCTCACTCAGCAGTTAGAGGGAGTTTCCAAACTGAAGGTGAGGAACTGCTATCCCACTGCTTCAGACAGATCCTCTGTGCCCCAGCCCTCCCTGCTTCTGATCCTCATCTCTATACACGCCCCTCCCTGCATTTACAGGACTGATGTGAGTCCCCACTCTCTACTCTCCCAGCCTCAGCCCATGCTGTTCCCCCGCCTGAAACACCCTTATCCCACCACCCACCCACCCCATCCCGTTGCTTTATTTTTATTACTTCCTAATTCTGGTTTTACTGTTACACTGGAAATGCCATGAAGGCAGGAGCTGTGTCTCAGGGTCCACAGTGTATTCCCATCACCCAGCACCTTGCCAACACTGAATGAACAAACAAGTGAATGAGCATGTTCAAGGCTAAATCAAAAAATTTAGTCGGGGAAGGAGTGGAAGGTAAAAGTGGAAAGAAGTAGAACCAGGTTGTGCAGGCAGGACTCAGACTGTCAAGGGAGAGACCTGGAGGGTTTTGCCTGTAAGCAAAGGGATTCAAGCAGGACACTGATGCGGTAAGACTGGTACTTCAGGAAGACTAGCCAGGCAATGGGGGAGGGAATGGATGGAAAAGAGAGTGAAGGTGGGCAAACCAGCTAGAAGGCTATTAGAAAAAGCCCTAAATCAAGCTGTAAAAGAAAAGAGAAGCAGAACAAGTGTGAGAGAAGGTGAGACACCATGAGATACCTTGCAGACATTAGAAATTCAATTGTCTCCCAAACTCTCAACTCACCCTGTGCCTGCCAAAGCTGCTCCTAGTTCTAGAAACAGTACCACTCACAGGCATATGCACAGGTGCCCAAGTGAGAAGCCTGTGGGGAAATCTTCCACTCCCTTCCTCTCTCCCTCCCACCCAAATCCAGTTAGCCATTAAGTCTGAACACTTCCTGTTTGCAGTGCTTTGCACAAGCCTCCTCCCTCACCACGCATCTCCACAGCCTCCGGTCCTCTTCCCTCACTGGTATCCTTATCACATCAAAATCTTCAGCTGCTTCCCATGCTTTTAGGGAACAATTTAAACTCAGCTTGGCCTACCAGACCCTTCCCTGTCTACCCCCTGCCTCTCCCTTTAGCCTCACTCCTTACTCACATGTTAAAATTACCATGAAAAAATATGTAACATATAAATAAAATTATCATGAAAAGCTTGTACTTTTTAAAACTCACTGCACTCTCTCTTCCTTCCATGCCTAATGCCTTTCGATCTCACGTAGCTGTCTCTCCTTCTTAACCTGGCTGACTTCTACATCTGTCCCAGGAAGCCTTCCCCGCAGCCCAGTCCTATTCCCATGTGCTCCCATGGCACCCAGCGTGTGACGCTGCCCGGTCCCATGGAAATTACTGGCATCTGATTCTCACTGTTTCACTGTGAGCTCCCGGAGGGTGGGGACTATGTCTTTGATCTTGCTGTTTCCATCTCTACCACAGTACCTGGCACAGTAATCTCTGGTGAATGAATGAGTGGATAATGAGGAGAAGAACAGAACTTGGTGACTTCATGAGAGAGCCTCAAAAGAAGAAGGATCAAAGGTCACCTCTAGGCTTGAATCTGAGCCATAGAGGAATGGTGGTTTCATTCCTACAATAGGAAGTCAGGACAGAAAGCTAATTTGGAAGGTCAAAAGAGCAATGAACTGATTTACATGTAATATATTTCAGGTGTGTTGTCCTGCATTCACTTTGGATTTACAAAGGGACAAAAAGCAATAGAAAATAAAGGAGGACTTGGAAGGTTCTTGAATAACCTATAATCAAGAGAGTCAACCTCTGGATAGGTCTTGGCATTGTCTGAACTAAGGAAATTGCAAACAAATATTAGTAACAATATGTGGCTATTCCCAAATGGAGAGGACAGGAAATGAAATTTATCTCACCGAGACTTATGGTACCGAGTTCACCAAAGATGCTCTTTGCCAGACTCTCTGTCTCCTTCATCAGCTCAGAGATGATGCATTTAAATCTGTTGGTGGTCCGTGATTTCACTTTCCTGAAAACTAGAGCCATCAAAGGAAAGTTAGTATTTCTCAGGAAGCTTATGTCAGATTTAAAGCAGGCATCCCCAAACCTTTCTCTACGGTTGTTACTTCCTCTGAGGCCCCACGCTCACAGGTAACTCACCGAGGTGATCCAACAAACACTCAGAAACCTTGCAACAGATCCCTCCTGCTAACATGTCTGCTGTGCTCTGGGTCTAACCCAACTTCTCACTCTGGCTTTCCTGTTACTCAACACCGAGTCCCTGCTCTAAGGAGGCTGGTGTCCAGTTTGACTCTGCAAATACCACTTTTTAAGCCTGTCTCTGTTCTTTGATTCCTTTCCACACAACCCTCAGGACTGTTTGCACTGTTCCTGACATTCACTATTGCATTGTTTCAGCAGAAATGTATTAACAGATCACCATGTGCCATATTCTGGTGACAGACAGTTGAACAGAACTCACTCTGTGTGTTCTTAGGGGACAAAAAGACACACTGCCAAGTAACCACAGCAGAGTGCGGTAATATAAGTATGCACAAGTGTCATGGAACACAGGGAGAGAAAAAAAACAAATTCTTCCGAGGGAGGCAGTGGTGTGGGATATGCAGGGGAAGAGGAAAGGAGGAAGCAAATGCAATCATGTACAAATACAGCATGGACCAAAGTTAGAGAGAAAAGGCATTTGACACATTTGAGGAGCCCACAGGAATGCAATGATTGGGTTTATGGGAGTTGGGAGGAGAGGAAGCTCAGAGGGCAGGGGGGACCAGGTTATGAATAAATATGTACTTGATACTAAAAAGTTCAGAGTGTGTGTCTTCTCTAAACCCCTACAGGCAGCTCCAGAAAGAAACGTAACTTCCTCCTCCCTATTTCATGTCTGTCTGTTCTGCCTTGTACAGTCACATGCTGTTCAGACAAGCATGAGATCATGTGTATTTCCTCTCCCCGCTCCCTCTTGCTGAATTAGTATAGCACTGGTATCCAATAAACATTTGCTAGTCAATCTTATAAAAATCATATTCTCATCTTTTGAGGTATGATGAATTCAGATAATTTCAACCAAAATTATCAGATAAATACTGAAATGATGAATGACCACACGGTATCCTCCTCAGGTATGGACACCAGGAAGGACCGAGCCCGGGTCTTGGCCATTCACATGCTTAGATTTTCTCATCACCTCTCCCTCTCAAGGTTCTCTGTATAAGAGTTTTACGGAAATGAAGAGTCAGACTGTTTGCTTCCTACAGGCCATTGCTGAGGTTCATCCATTGCTTGGGGAGAGAGCTCCGTCGAGGAGAGAGCCAGAAATGTGATTATTTTCCAAGTTTGGGGTTAAATAGTTTCTACTAAACAGAGAAAGTGTAAAAATTTAGTGTCCATTCAAATGGCTCTGAACTAGGAATAGTAGAGGATTACAGAGTCTAAAGGGCTTGTTACTGGATCTCACTTACACTTCTGGGGCTTATAAACAATCTCCTCCAGTTCCTCCAAGTTGTCTTTGACTGTTGCCACCACTGATGTGTCAAGAGAAGCGCACAGCTTGCAGATATACTCCGTGGCTTCCGTTGTGTTTTTGGCATCCCCAACGCCAACTGAGGCAGTCAGCCCAATGACCTGTGAAGAGCACTCCAAGCCATGAGATGACCGGGGAAAGCATGGTATTTCCTCAGCCCCTCCTGTAACTCTCTCCTGCTACCGCAGGCTTCCCCCCAACTTCAAATAAAGAACAGGGACATTTTTCTCCCCTGAAACTCTCTATGACAGTGTAAATAGAAAGGTCCTCATTAAGTAAAGCACTGAATAAATGCAGAAGTCACAACGCATGAGTTGAACAAAAATCAGCATAGATATGAAGAGAGGAAACCCTTTCAAGGCAGGGCTTCTTTCTTCTTTACCCGTGTGTCCCCCATGATGAGTAGAACAACATACTGAAAAGGAAAAGGGCTGCAATCGGACATACTTCCATTCCAAGCCCAGCCATGTCACACTGGCTGTGTGTCCTTGGACAAGCAGCTCCCACTCTGTAAAGCTGGGTAACAATAGCGATTTAAAATGGTAGCTGTGCGAACTTAGTAAGATAACATTTGTAAAGAATATAGGTTAACAGTCACCTAATAAATATTTGTTTCTTCCTCTAATAGCTTCTCAATAAATATTGAACTACTAATTTTTGTTTCTAGAAGAAAAGGGTGTAAGAAATGTGACTGCAACTGAATTTTGTCTATGGGCACCATCCCGAATTTCTTCCCACCTGTTTCCTAAACAGGTAATTATTAGGGTTAGAGAACTGTACACAAATGTGAGATTACTGTGCTACAAATTCATGATTCCCAACTTTATCTGAGCCCCCAATATGACCAGTCAATTCTTCTGTGGATTAGTTCTCTCTTCCATTTCAAATCCTCTCTATGCATCTTCCATTCCCATCTTCTACGTTCAAGAGAAAAGAGGGCTTATATCCAACTTCCCTTCCTTTCCTGCTCCATCTGAGAACTACTCTCTGTGATGATTCCTCTTACCCTCTCCCCTCTAATGACACCAAAAATAGCAAAAATGGTTTTCCATCTAGTCTCCTGTACTAATCCAGCTACTTGCCTACTTATCCAAAACCTCTGGTCTCCCCTGGCATCTTTTAAAAATAAAAAAGTTCTTATTGATTTGAGAGACAGAGGAAGGGAGAGGGGGAGAGAAATATTGGTGGGGGAGAAACATTGATCAGCTGCCTCCTGCATGCCCCCGACTGGGGGTCAAACCTGCAACCTGGGCATGTGCCCTGACCAGGAATGGAACCAGCAACCTCTCAGCACATGGGACACATGCAACCAACTGAGACACACTGGCCAGGGCTCTCTTGGCACCTTGTTCTATCAATCATTCCCTCTCTCCCATCCTTACTCACCTACTGCTATTCACTACTTCACACTCTAGACTCAAGTGATACTTAAAAGCTTCAAGATTCTTAAGCGCACCATGTTCTTTCATCCCTCTGTGCCTCTGGACACACAGTAGCCTTTCCAGAAAACCACCCAGCTATCTACCTTGTAAACTCTTGTTAGTGTTTGCCTAACCTAACTTCTGTTAGGATTTGCCTTACCTTCACAGCACACTCAGGAGCTCTTTTACGTCTCTTGTGATTGCACCATATACTCACCTCCATAGTGTGCCATCATGATATACTATGACATAATTCTAACATAATTGGCTCCCCATGAAACTTCAGCTGTTTGAAGGCAAGGAATATGTCTTTTTATATTTGCATCCCCAGTGCCTTGCACAGTGCATGGAGGCACCTGATACATATTTGTTAAGTGGATAAATTAACCAATGAATCAAATTTAATCAATGAGTTATATAATATGGACTTAGAACCTGAGAAGGACATCTTCACTGTGGCCATAAGAGTAAGTCAAGCCTGGCCAGTGTGCTCAGTTGTTGAGCATCAACCTATGAATCAAGAGGTCACTGGTTCGATTCCTGGTCAGAGCCCATTTTCCGGGTTGCAGGCTTGATCCCCAGTAGGGGATGTGTAGAGAAACGATGATGTTTCTCTCTCATCGATGTTTCTACCTCTCTATCCCTCTCCCTTCCTCTCTCTCTACTTCTAGTCAACAGAAACATATATATATATATCAAGCCTGGTATATGTAGCTCAGTGGTTGAGCGTCCATCTATGAACCAGGAGGTCACAGTTCAATTCCTGGTCAGGGCACATGCCTGAGTTGCGTGCTCAATCCCCAGTGTGGAGCGTGCAGGAGGCAGTTGATCAATGATTCTCTCTCATCACTCATGTTTCTATCTCTCTCTTCCTCTCCCTTCCTCTCTGAAATCAATAAAAAAATTTTTTTTAAAAAGAGTAAATCAATACGATTTAGGAAGGTGACAGCTCTGCCGAGGGATCCATCTGATGTTGCAGATACCTGGGGCAGTGGGTCTGAAGATCCTCCAAGTTTCTGATCTAGATAATGAAACATGATCACATTGTAAGGATGGAGTTTGCTGGTGTTGTGGCATTCATCAAATATCATCAAAGTAAAGACAGAGAGTGATGGAATAGTCCCATTTTTAAGGCTGTTCACAAGAATCTGTGGAGTTAAAATGATGATGTCATTGTTCTCAACAATCTGATCCACTGAGATATTCTCAACTGTGGCTCCAGAAACGCCTGCAATTTTGTACCTGGAAATGACAGAAACTGCCTATTACCAACCACGGTGTGAGTGAGAAACCACAAAGATATGAAACACTAGATCAGAACATTAATTGACTGCATTCTCCCTAAGTCAAAAGGAGACAAGTGCTTAGCAACGTCTTACACATAGTAAGTGATCAATAAATGCAAGCTAGTTGAAATGGCTAGGAGTATATATTAAGCCACTAAGAAACTAGTGCTTAAAGAGTCATAGTAAATAAATCATAAAATCATTAAAAAGTTAAATGTGCCAGTTAAATGTAAAATGTATCTCTTAAGCCATTCACTTAGGATTTCAGGTATAGCTAACAAAACAGACTGAATCCTGAAGGAATTACATCTGGATTCTATAAAAGCTGAATCTACTATGAATTTTTTGAATCATGGTTTCCCAAAACCAAAACAAAGCAGAAAGCACCCCAGTTACATAAAGCTAGAGAAAAACAAGTTCAAACAACTGTTATACTTACCCATGTCTTTCAAAATATTTTAAGAAGACGGATTTCTGCTGTTCATACACTGGGAGTTGATTAGCAAAAAACACAATCTTCCCCTTTTGTCCTTGCGGAAATTTCTGAAGATGATGTTCACATATGAGAAGTGCAACAAAGGTTTTCCCACAACCTTTTAACATAAAGAAAAAGAAAAGGTCACTAATATCCTATTAAAATATTTCTGTCGAATGGTAATTATTTTTGGCTCTCTTAAAACCACTGGATGGACTAGTAAACCGGTAATGTGAATGGGTAAACAATGGCAGAATTTACACCAGGACTAACAAATATTAACCTACTCCCTAGGTAATATGAACTCAAACAGTCAGGGCCTGAAGCAAGCGAAAAGATGGCATTTTTCTTTCCCCTCGGGTTCTTTAAAATACCTTGAGACTATATTAATAACATGGTTTTCTCAAAAGACAAATGGAACAAGGAAAAAACTAAAACTTGCCCATTTCATCCCAGTATTCAATAAAAGGGAAAAAAAGGAAGCAGAGAAACAAACCATCTAAGTTCTGGCAATCAGCTTACCAGTAGGAGCACATATTATTGTGTTTTTTCCTTCTAAAGCAGGACGAGCAAGCTCTAGTTGGTAATTTCTTGGCTTAATTGGGCTCTGAGTACAAGATGCTTCTGAAACACAAAAGGAACAAAATTACCAAGGAGTTTCTGCCTGAGGGATCAAGGCAATAGCTATCTATTGTCAGACAGACAGGAACGCTGACTCCTTCGGAAAGTTTACAATCCTCGTTTTTAACATTCTAGCTTCTCCACTGATTTGAAGTGAAGAATTCTCCCTCAGTGACAAAGTAGTGATGGCAAAAAGGGAAGAAAAAAATAAAATAACAAATGGCTTAATTCAGGGCAACACAGATGCCCACCGGTTAAAGGAAATGCTACATGGAACAAAACAGCAAGAAATCTTTGAAAAACACTAAACTGTGTAAATCTTGAATTCTCAAAGCAATCTCTTCTTGAAGAGCAGTCATGCTTTGTAATTCTGAAGGCTCTCACATGCTATTTTCTCTCAAAAGTGAAGGGGAAAATAAGACATTTGGGGGCTAGCTATCTGAATTCTGACGCACACTCTTGCTTGCAGATAAACTCCATTCTATCTGTGATGACTGTCCTGCCATGCAGAACCTGTTTCCCGGAATACTCCCATTTTACAGAGGCCATAAACTGAACCATATACAACATCCTGAGGGGTTTGGCAGTGCTGGCGCCAGACAGGCCTCTGAGTGTAATCTCACTTCCCCCATCCTAACTCACAGGGGGCTGCAAAGCCCATGAAAAGTCCAGAAGCCTGATCTATATCTGGGGGACAAAGAAACTAAAGGGTATAAAGGGAAAGCTTCATCCATATTCATCACTCAGGATTTGGAGACTGACTCCCCTGAGTCACGGCATGTGTGCATCTAGAAATAAAGGCTATTTTTCTGAATATCCTCGGAGTGCCCAGCTGATTAATTCTTCTGCATTAATCTGGTGTGTTGGCTGGGAAAATACCAGTCATGCTGCCTACTTAGGGCACCGCTGGTAAAGGCCAATGGCGGTCCTTTTGCCCAGCTCCCTCCTGAAGATGGGAAAGGCATGCCTCCAGTGATTTACTGGATTCCAGTCCTCATCGGACCTGGATGACCGGGACCCTCGCTTACGCCTCAGTGGACTTCAAGCAGGAGAGAAAAGCCCTTTCTGGAACCAGACGTCTGACTGGTGAGTTTTCCCCCGGGGGGAGCAGTCTGAGTTCAGGCCTGTCTTTTGGGACAGAAGAAGTGGCTGACCACCACTTAGGCAAAATATTTGCCTCGGTTCAGGGACTTTCCGTGAGTGGAAGTCAACGCTCAGACTGACTGTGAATGTAAGAGTCTGTGTGAAGCGAATGTTACCTTGTGTTTGTTCTGTGTCTCTGTTAACTGGGAGGTATTACATGGTTTAACTGCAAATATGGGAAGTAGTTTCTCCAAACCCACTGTTTTAGAATGTATGTTAAAGAATTTAAAGAAAGGTTTTCCTGGGGACTATGGGGTGAACCTAGTTCCCTGGAAGTTAAGAAAGATGTGTGACACAGACTGGCCATCTTTGGGTCAGGATGGCCAGAGGAGAGCACATTGGATATCCCCGTAATCAGGAATGTTTACAGAGTTATAAAGGGAGTTTTCTGTTGTTGTTTTTTTAATATAAATTTTTATTAATTTCAGAGAGGACGGGATAAGGAGATAGAAACATCAATGATGAGGAAAGAATCATTGACTGGCTGCCTCCTGCACCCCCCATCCCCCCACTAAAGGACTGAGCCCACAACCTGGGCATGTGCCCTGACCAGAATCAAACTGTGACCTCTTGGTTCATAGGTCTACGCTCAACCACTGAGCCATGCCAGCAGGCAAGAACCAGAAGTTTTAAAAAACAATCAGAGGCTTTATATCACTAATAGATAAGCAAATGGAAATATGTTAAGAGCCACAAATACCTTGAAAATCATCTATTGAGTCCAAACTATCTATTTGAAAGAAAAGGAGACTTTCTAAAAGGTTAAGAGAGTTCACTAAGGACCTTTCACATGTCAGAAAAGTTGAAAGCAACTTACATTCATTGATTTTATTTTGAAATGACCAAAAACTTGAATCATTCAGTTGCAGAAGTAATCTATAAATTTGCTTCTCATGGTGTTATCCCCAAATCACATCTTTCTTCTAATACTACTAATGTATATCATAATTTTCCCCCTGATGCCCTTTGGTAAATAACTTTTTACTATGGCTTATTATGCAACTTTCTGGTCTCATGAAAAGAGTAAGATGGGCCTTTTACAGCCACAGGTAACTCATACCGGGCCTTTGTATGAATTAGAAAAAGCTCTCCGCTCAGAGGACATAGCCCTTAACGCACTGTTTGACAAACAGCACAAGCTGGATCTCAATCCCCTCTCAACCCTCAGCCACGTACACATGGGCAGCGCACAAACTTCATCAATTTACACTGCAGCCCTGGGATCCTAGAAGGAAAGATAGCAAATGACTCTCAAATAGTAGAAATATTTCATTAGAAAGCAGGGCTGATTTTTAAAATCCTGTCTGTGAAAGAAGGAGCTCATGGACATGGAGTTTCTGGGAGGACTATTTGCATTTTCATGTAGAGCTGCCTATATTTTCTTAGTGATAAAAGAAGACCAAAAAAAGAAGATAGAAGAGGAAGAAGTTGACAATTGAATTCCTAACCATAGAAAAAAGTATTTCTTGTCATGTAAATTCTCTTTTCTTTATTACTTTCCCTTAAAAACCTTTTCATAAGGCTGTGACTTTTGGTACTGAAAACAAGTCCCCACACAAAATACTTGAAGGGCAACATATGGAAAAGAAAAAAGAGTGCTGGGTACCTGAAGGTGGACATGAATTCTGACTAAGATTCTGGCATTCTGGTTCTTCCTTGTAGAAAATCTGTACGTCGGAAGTTTCTATTTCCCCATCCTCAAGCTCTTTCGTTTCCTCTTTTGCACCTTTATGAGACCAAGAAGCATCTTAGAATCTTTACATAAACTGATTCCAGTCTTGATTGTGAAAGCCTCACAATGAGGTCATAATACTAAAATTGTAAACTCCCATTAAGATTTCTCACAAACACTCCTGTCACCTTTAAAACAATTAAAATAATCTTTTCAAGTTTGCTATCTCAACTTGGAGTTTGAACTCCAAAGTCATTTCCGACTTTATTATTCAAAGTGTAGGACATAGATCAGCAATTTCAGGAACTTGTTAGAAATGCAGACTCTTGAACCCCTACAGCATCAGAATCTGCATTTGAACAAGATCCCCGGGTGGTTCATAAGCACACTAAAGAAGATATTCATGTCTTCCTTTCCTGGCCTCCCCACGAAATCAGATGTGTATTTCTGGAACAACATGTGATCTAAAGAAGCCACAAAAAGCTAAGAGGGTTTACCAAACTCAACCTTTAAAACAGTAGTTCTCAACCTTCCTAATGCTGCAACCCTTTAATACAGTTCCTCATGTTGTGGTGACCCCCAACCATAAAATTATTTTCATTGCTACTTCATATCTGTAATTTTGCTACTGTTATGAATCGTAATGTAAATACCTGATATGCAGGATGTATTTTCATTGTTACAAATTGAACATAATTGAAGCATAGTGATTATTCACAAAAACATTATGAATAATATATGTGTTTTCCGATGGTCTTAGGCGACCCCTGTGAAAGGGTCATTCGACCCCCAAAGGGGTCTCGACTCACAGGTTGAGAACCACTGCTTTAAAATGATGCTTTGAGGTTAGCTTCAGGACTCAGATACTTAATCACAATAGGTTCTTTTTTTCAATCCTGCTCTGGTTCAGTTCCAGATGGCTTCCAGGCAGAGAACCAAGCAATGTCTATCATGAATCTACTGTGAAAAGGGATAAGTCCTGGTTTGGACCTTCTTAACTCTTGAGTTTTCAAGAGATTTCTCTGATAATCTAAACCCAAATAGTGAGCTCAGACCCTGCCTCCCCTAAGTCCTTTGGGCCAGATGGGCTAATTCTGGATGAGAACGGTTTGCCCTGGTCCATATTTAGGGGTTATATACACCCAAACTACTTCTGTAGGCAAGGAGCCCCTTGCCTTCCAGAATTCAATTTCATGCTGATCTCTCATTAGAGAGGTAGCGATGGGTATCAGAGGGGAAAAATGCCTCTGACAGCGAGTGAAAAACAGGTAGGAGTGAAGGAAGCCCTAAGGAGAACTATGAGGAAGCAGAGCATGTTTTCAGACCCTCCCCTCCCCGCTTCAGAACTGTTCCTTCAAAATCCTACCTTTCTCTATAATCCACAGTTCACTGAAATTGCTCTCTTCTTTCTCCAAAGCAAGTTTCAAATATTTGGGCCAGTTCTCCTTGTCTGATCTGAGAAGGCACTCAACCATTTTCTCTGCACCTGCCATCGGCCCCTTGTTGGAACAAACCTGAGCAAGACAACTGCAGTTGACTGATCAATTATTTCAAAGTTTTCCTTTTATGAGTTTTTATTGAAGAAATACCAACTCAAGTACTATCTGATTTAAAATTATTGTTTGGTTCAATAGGTCTTATTCATGAACATTTTTGCCCCATCCCACACAATTTTTTAAAAAACCCTTCCTTTGCCCTAATCTCGTGGTCGGTAAACCGTGGCTCGCGAGCCACATGCGGCTCTTTGGCCCCTTGAGTGTGGCTCTTCCACAAAATACCATGTGCGGGCGCGCACGTACAGTGCGATTGAAACTTCGTGGCCCATGCGCAGAAGTCGGTATTTTGTGGAAGAGCCTGTATTTTGTGGAAGAGCCACACTCAAGGGACCAAAGAGCCGCATGTGGCTCGCGAGCCGCAGTTTGCCAAGCCGCAGTTTGTCGACCACTGCCCGAACTGGTTTGGCTCAGTGGATAGAGCGTCGGCCTGCGGACTGAAGGATCCTAGGTTCGATTCTGGTCAAGGGCATGTATCTTGGTTGTGGACACATCCCCAGAAGGGGTTGTGCAGGAGGCAGCTGATCGATGTTCCTCTCTCATCAGCATATCTAACTCTCTATCACCCTCTCTTCCTCTTTTTAAAAAAACAATAAAATATATATTTAAAAATAAATAAATAAATAAAATAAAAAACCCTTCCTTTGTCCTTGTCCTCTTCATATTGTATCACTATGTCAAGCCAAGTATTCTCACCTCCTCTGAGATCTTATATTCAATCATCATCAGCAATATTAGGAAAACAACCCACATACTAGCCATTCAAAATATGGGTATACTGGCATAGAGAGACATTTGAAAGGACATAAGCAAATATTAACAAATGGGTTTTTCAAGGTGGTGAGATTTACATGACTTTTATTATTAATCATAATCATAATAACTAAAATTTACTGAGCACTTATTATGCACCAGACATATGTAAGCACTTTACATATATTATCTAATTTAATATTTATAAAAATATAGTAATAAGACGCCATTTTAAACATGAATAAACAGAGGTTTAGAGAAACTAAGTAACTTGCCTAAGATCATATCACTAGTAAGTGGTTGAGTTAGGATTCTAACAAAGTTTATTTGTGTCCAGAGCCTGAATACTTAGCCACTAGATTATATGGCTTTTTTTAATTTGCTAAACTAGTTGATTTTATTTAAATTTGCATAAAACATTATTCAGAAAGCAATAAAAATCTTTTTAACTGAAAATAGGACAAACCTGAAAAAAATTGTGACATAAAAATTACTCAATTCACAATTAAATTACTATTCTAGGTAATTAAGCCTGAGATTTGAAGACTTTTGTGGGTTGCAGGATCTTTCTTAGGTCTAAAGCATTATAGAAAACGAAAACATTTTCCATGTTCAAATTATTTCCCAATTCAAAATTTTATTTTAATTAAATTACCTGTCTAATTTCTTCACATTCCTGATTAATTAAACATTCAGATACTTCAGGAAGGATATCATTTGGATTAATTCTGGTTTTAAATTCTGGTTGCAAACGCCTTAAAAGCGATCTATGTTCCTCCAACTTTTCTATTTTGTGGAAATCCCAACTTTCAATGGCTTCATAAAGTCCAGAATAACCTGAAAAAAAAAAAGAGAGAGAGAGAAAGAGAATTGGGGGCTTTTATGAGACCAACTAAAAAATACTTTGAGATTATTTAATATCAAGAAATCATGTCTGAATGTATAGTGAGAAAACTCAAAAATATCTATGTCTCCTTAGTTATTATGAACTTTCAAAAAGAAAACTCGATATTCATTTTAGGTACCCAACATTTTAGATCTTCTAACAATATTTATCATCTCTTGGGAGAAAATACAAAGGATATATGTGAGGTTTTACATTTGATCTTAGTATAAAATCTTCCTTCCAAAGTGCATCCATAGATTCCACCTACAACTCCTGATTCATCTTTCAATGAGCCAAGCCATCATGTTAAGTTTCTTGTCAGTGCAAATTAGTAAAGGCAAACAGAAATACAGATTATAATTCCAGCCCCTTAGGAGATTACCTTCTGTGTTATTCCAAGAAAATAAAACTAAGTATAATGAGAAAATCTGAGGTGGAAAAAAATTACTTCCAATTGTAATAATCCAAGAATGCTTCACTCTAAAGTTCTCTAAAGAATTACCAGGCTTGTCCAATCTTAAGGCCCACAACCTTTTTATTAGTATACTAGTGGCCCGGTGCACAAAATTTGTGCAGGGGGGGGGGGTATCCCTCAGCCCAGCCTGCACCCTTTCCAATCTAGGACCCCACGAAGGATGTCCTACTGTTGGTTTACAGGGATCGGGCCTAAACCCGGCAGTTGGACATCCCTCTCACAATCCGGGACTACTGGGCTCCTAACCACTCACCTGCCTGCCTGCCTGCCTGACTGCCCCTAACCACTCTGCCTGCTGGCCTGCTCACCCCCAACTGTCCCCCGAGCCAGTGTGCTCACCCCCACCTCGCCTCCCCCACTGGCCTGCTCACCCCCAACTGCCCCCCTGCTGGCCTGCTCACTCCAAATTGCGCCCCCTGCTGTCCTGATCACCTCCAACTGACCCCCACTGATGGCCTCCTTGCCCCCAACTGGCCCCCCTGCTAGTCTGCTTACCCCCAATGGCCCCGCCCCCCATCAGCCTGATCACCCACAACTGCTGTCCCATCCTGGCCTGATCACCCACAACTGCCCTCCTCTCTTGGCCTCGAACCGCCTCTACCTCACCCCCGGCACCATGGCTCTGTCCAGAAGAATGTCTGGAAGGTCTCCTGGAAGATCTCCCAGTCTAATTAGCATATTACCCTTTTATTAGTATAGATAGAGGCCTGGTGCATGGGTGGGAGCTGGCTGGTTTGCCCTGAAGTGTATCCCGGATCAGGGTGGGGGTCCTGCTGGGGTACCTGGCCAGCCTAGGTGAGGGGCTGATGGCTTTTTGCAGGCTGGCCACACCCCCTTCAGGATGGGGATCCCCACTGGGATGCCTGGCCAGCTTGGGTGGGGGGCTGATGGCTGTTTGCAGGCTGGCCACAGCCCCTTCAGGGTCGTCGGGTCCCGCTGGGGTGCTTGGCCAGCCTGCTTGAGGGGCTGAGGGCTGTTTTCAGGCTGGCCACACCCCCAGCGAGGACCCTCACCCCATGGGGGTGTGGCCAGCCTGGGTGAGGGGCTGAGGGCCGTTTTCAGGCTGCCCACAGCCCCTTCAGGGTGGGGGGGGGTCCTGCTGGGGTGCCTGGCCAGCCTGAGTGAGGGGCTGATGGCCGTTTTCAGGCTGGGCACGCCCCCCGGCGACCCAAGCTCCCAGCCTCTCCTTTTTTTTCTTTTTTTCAGCGCCTCCTTGAGCAGAGGCCAGGGCGGGCTGGAAGCAGGTATCTGGGATTTATTTATCTTCTATAACTGAAACTTTGTAGCCTTGAACGGAGCTCAGGGCCGGCCAGGGCAGGCGGGAAGCTTGGCTTCCTCCATCGCCGGGGGCAACCCAAGCCTCCTGCTCGCTCCAGCTCTGTGGCCGCCGCCATCTTAGTTGGGTTAATTTGCATACTTGCTCCTGACTGGCTGGTGGGTGTAGCAGAGTAATGGTTAATTTGCATGTTCCTCTTTTATTAGTGTAGATAAATAGCAGAACAACAAAATGAACACATGTAAATCCATTCACAACTTAAGAACTAGAATATTCCATTATATTGCGGGTGTGTGCCTCTTTTTCTCCCACCCTCCTATCTCCTTGCAAATATACTCCTACCTTGTATTTGATGTATCAATCCCTTAATTTTTTTGAGTAGTTGCATGACATATCTTTGATTCTCTAAACAATATGTTTTGTTTAGCTTGCTTGGAACTTTATAATTATATTCTACTAAATGGAATTTTCTCTGATTTTTAAAACAGTTTAATATTACATTTCTAAGCTTCACCTGTGTTGTTGTCTGTAGCTTTGCTCATACTGAGGAGGAAACTGGTCTAGCAAGGTGTGTCAGGCCATAAAATCGGTGAACAACGCACTGCCCTGGGTGGGGGAGGGTTGTTATGCTGGTGCCAGGATGTGGCCTGATACCTGGGGGCCTTTCTGCAGGGCCACGAAGGGGGCAGGGGGCCTATCTGCAAGACAAAGACCCCAGCGGGATATATAGACAGGCTCTCTGCATGTTTCTTCACTCTGATTTGGAAATTATTCCCGGAGTCCACTAGTGTTAATAAACGGGGTCCCTCCCTTTCTCTACGAAGCGAGCTTGGTATTTCTTTGGTCTTCTGTAACAATACCTTTTCATTGCAGTATATTCAACCATCATGTGAATATTTTAAAAATTATTTATCCATTCTCCTCTTCTCGAGGTTGCTTCTAGTTTTGTTTGCTTGCTTGCTTTTGTTAATACAAACAATTATACTATGAACATTCATGTATGAATTTGGGAAAATTTGTGTAAGAATTTTGTTAGGGTACATACCTAAGAGTAAAACTGTTCAATAGGATACATGGGAGTTGAACTATGCCAAATTGTTTTTCAAAATAGTTTTATCAAGTTACACTCTGTAGGGTGATTTTTTTAAATTAAATATGTTTTTATTGATTTTAGAGAGGAAGGGACAGGCAGAGAGTGAGAAACATCCATTGGCTGCCTCCTGCACGCCAAGGATTGAACCCACAACCCAGGCATGTGCCTTGACCAGAAATCAAACTGGCAAGCTTTTGGTACATGGGACAACGCACAACCAACTGAGCCACACTGGCCAGGGTTGTAGGGTGATAGCTAAGATTACCTGTTATTAAATGTCCTCTTCAAGCCTTAACACTGTTGGACTTATTAAGTTTGGCTATCTACTAGTTATAAAATGTTACCTCATCATGTTCCTAATTTATAACAAATATTAATTAATTATTTTTATAATAAATAATTATTTTTAGAGAGAGAGGAAGGGAGGATAAAGAGAGAAACATCAATGTGAGACAGAAACATTGATTGGTTGCCTCCCATACACACCCCAACTGGGGATAAAACCATGGGTTTGTTCCCTGACCAGGAACTGAATCTGTGACCCTTCAGTGCATAGGACATTACAACCAACTGAGCCACACTGGCCAAGGCTGAAGTTTTCTTTCTTTTCCTAATTGATTTTAAAGCCTTTTAAAAAACATTCTATATATTAATTCTTTGGTCATAATGTATTTTGCGGATATCTTCTCCCAATCTGCTTTTTTTCACTTTCTTTATAGTGTGTTTTGACAAACGAATGCTCTTAATATTAATGTCATGGAACTTTTCAATCTTTCTTTTATGGTTAATGCTTGAATATCTTGTTTCAGAAATCTTGCCATAATCCAAGGTCATAAAAATATGATCCTATATTCTCTTGTAAAATTGTTAAAATTTTACCTTTTAGAATTAAATCTTTAATTCTTTTGAATTCATATTGTGTGTGTATATATGAATGGAATGAATTAAGGAACACAAATTTATTTGTATCCGCTTGGATAGGAAAGTTAAGGTTTGTTTGGTTTTTAATCTTAACCTCTTTAAACTATCCTGTTTATAATGGCCCACTGCAGTTAATCAAAAAGCCCCTCCTTTCCTAATAATCCTCCTTTCCCAGAGATCTATAATATAACAGGTTTCCATAAATACATGAGCCTAGTTGAAGACTCTATTCTATTTCATTGGTCAGCTGGTTGGTTCTAGGAACAGAGTCGCACTGTCTCAATGCCTACAGCTTTACAATAAAACTTGATATCTCAAAGGGAAAACCCCAGACTATTTAATTCTTCTCTAGAGAGTTATTGATTGTTCTTGGGTCATAATTCTTTCAAATACATTTTAGAATCAGCTTGTCAAACTCATAAAAAAGCATGTAAGATTTTTACTAGAATTGTATTGAATATATAGGTCAATATAGGGAGAGATGACATTTTTATGATATCAAGTTGTCCTCTTCATACGCATGGGTATGTATCTCCATTTAAATAGGACTTCTTTAATATCTTTCAATAACATTTTATCATGTTCTCCATTCAGACTTTACCCACCTTTTGCTGGGTTTATTTCTAAATACATGATAACTTCTGTTACTAATATAAATGATATTTCTATTTGCTTCCAGTGGGTGAAAATGCAACTAACTTTTGTATACTATCTTCTATCCAATGAAGATGCTAAATTCTACCATTACTTACAATACTCTGTAGACTCCTTTAGATATTTCAGGTAGACAATTATATTATCTGCCTGAAAATAGTCTTCACATTGCTTCAGATTAAAAGACATGAACTAGACGTGCTGGTATGGCTCAGCAGTTGAGTGTCAACCCAGGGACCAAACGGTCACTGGTTTGATTCCTGGTCAAGGCACATGCCTGGTTTGAGGACTCAATCCCTAGCAGGGGGCATGCAGAAGGCAGTCAATCGATGATGTTTCTCGTTCATCAATGTTTCTATCACTCTATTCTCTTCTCCCTTCCTCTCTCTCTAAAAATCAATAAAAACATTTAAAAAAAGACTAATTATATGTGGACACTTCAAGATTAATAGCATTTCACTTTTACAGCATTTGGAAACAGTCAAGTAATATACTTTGATTTGTGAGGGAAAAGAATAAACAAACCTGCATGGTGAAGAGCATCCAAAAAGCCACGAAACCAGCCTTCCTCCTGGAGCTCCAATAGGAACTTGAGAAAAAGTGTAGCAGCCTCCATCACACCCTTGTTGTTTTTCTCAGCTTGAATATACTGCACCTCATCTACAGAGAGAAGCAAGAGTGATTCATCAAACTGTAGAACCATTAACCATTGTGTTATTGGTGGGGTGCTCTCTGTGGCAGCCTCTGTAACCTGTGGAAGTGGAGTTCCTGCGATGTTGCAAGAAAATGAATTTTCTGAGACTCTTGAGGGAGGAGGAGTGATCTTTATTTCTGTGGAATTGAACCCCTGGATTTCCAATGTCCCATTTCCCTCCTTCCCACCATGGAAAAAGTCCAATCTTGCCTTCAGCAGGCTAGAATTAAGGCCACTGCCCAGAGTCTCCACTTCATATTAAAGCACAGTCCAATCCAGCATCTGGCTAGCTGAGCTTGTGTTCCCATCTCCAGTCCATTGCATGCCTAAGGCCACATGGTGGGCAAGTGTAGGTCAAACAGCAAGAGAGCTCAAGAGCGAGCAAGAGCACAAGAGAGAGGAACTCTTTGGGGACTATAACCAGGAGCTTAACCAATTAACCCTTCATGTGCTTGCAGTGGCTTCACCCCCTTAGCCAATTATCTTTTTCCCAGGGTAGACTGGCAAACAAGGACCTTCCCTATGACACCCAGACTTCGCTGCACATGTGCTTATCTTCCTCTTTGTTGGGTTCCTTCCCCCAGTGATCTGCAGGGTATGGACAGGTGGTTCCCTGGGAAGCTTGAAGCTGTAGTTTCCTGGTGAAGCTGCCCAGATGACCATGCTTATTATGTCTGGCCTCCCCTTTGCTCTCTTCATATTATTAATATTAATAACTAGCTAATTATGACAATAACTGAAAGAAAAGCCTGAACAGGGTTTTCAAAATTTATGAAGTGGAGATGGAAACTGCAACAAAACAGCAATAGAAGGCACAGCAGGAAGGCAGCAAATTCTCTGCTCATTCTTCACCAACCCTGCCATCCTTTCTGGAAATTCTCCTAGTTTGGTATGAAGTCTAGGAGCACACTCTAAGGCAGACCTAAGGAAAAGGAGTTTATTGGCTTCTGCTCAAGATGGCGGAGTAGGTAAACAATGTGCTCACCTCCTCCCTCGACCACATCAAAATTACAACTAAACTACAGAACCATCACTGAGAATCACCTGGTCTAGCTGAAAAGAAGTTCTATAACCAAAGATATACAGAAAAAGCCACATCAAGGCAGTTGAGAAACAAAACGATTATTATAAAGAAAAGAAGTTTCTTAAAGATATATGAAAAAGTCTCCCACAACAAGGGCAAAGTCATGGTAGTTCTGGTTTAGATGGAAGAAAGACTTCTTCCAACATTTTCATAGTCTCTTGTTCAAAAGTCTGAATTAACTGTAGGACTAAGAGTGTGAGGATAGGACCACTCCATGGCATCAGTAACAATTACAGTGGACTCAGCAAGCAAAGTTAGAAATAAACAGAGATATTTTCATGGTCCTTTTTCCAGGTTCTTGCTAAGACAGTAGGCAATATGGCAGAAAAGAGAAAGCAAGAGGAGCTAAAGAGAAAAAAAGTGAGGCCAGGTAGCAGGAAAGTACCCACCAACCAGCAGGTTGTCATACACACTTTGTGCACTAACTCCATGTCTGAGGTGGTAATCAAACCGTTGCCTTCATTATGACCTGACATTTGGTAATTTTCCACTTTTCCCCACATTGCCAATGGAATGTAATTCCCAAGGGAGTAAGCCAGATGTCTGGATGGTCAACCATCATATCCTCAGGGATTAGAAGAGAACATAGCAGGTAACAGATACTCAACAAAGGTATGCTGAATGAAAGGAAGGGATGCCTTCCTTCTCTGTCTCAGCAACAATAAAATTCAATGATTTTTAAGAGTTGTGAAACTATCACCATATCTAATTTTGGTACCATTGTAATTAACCTAGTATTAATAACAAGAACAAAGGAGCAAAGAAGGCCAAATATTACAGGCATGTCATTTGGGCAGCTTCACCAGGAAGCTAAAGCTTTACATTCCCCAGGGAGCCACGGATCTGTTCCCCACAGATTGCAGGGGGAAGGGACTGGACAGGGAGAAGAATATACGGACGCATGCCCAGTAAAGTACCCGGGAAGGTACTTGTCTGTCAGTCACACCTGGGAACAGATCATTGGCCAGAGTGGGCATGGCCACTGCAAGAAGGAAGACATCTGGGACAGTTAATTCCCTGAACAAAGAAGCTCTTGTACTCTTGGTTCCTCTTATGCTTTTGGGACTCTGATTGCTCGAGGTGTGCTCCCCAGTATTTGCCCTCATTAGTGTTTCCACTCTCTGACTGAATCCTGACTGATAGAATATACTTGTCACAATTAAGGTTGACCCATAGAATCCAGAGCTTCCAAGAGAAAAAATAGGAGATATAGAAACTTTATCAATCTAATAAAAAACAGAAAAAGATGGGCAGAAAGCAAAAAGTTTATGGACCCATGTATATGAACTGTAGGGGTGGGAAAGAGATTAACCAGGAACTTCTATGCACATATATGCATAGCTCATGGACACAGACAGTAGCTGATGAAGGCCTAGGAGGGGCCGGTGTGGGGTGAAGGGGGTCAATGGGAAAAAAAACCAAAGGAAATATCTGTAATACTTTCAACAATAAAGATAAATTTTAAAAAAATGAACAGTAAAGATACAAACCAACTAAATGATAAAAATTGCCTCTGGTGAGGGACTTGAAATAAAGCCTCTATGGTACCTTTAACATTAAAAATGAAGATAATATACATAGTGTTCTTCAGCTTGTTTTTTGTTTTACTTATCTTTAAAAACAATTTTTTTTATTGATTTCAGAGAGGAAGGGAGAGGGAGAGATAGAAACATCAATAATGAGAGAAAATCATTCATCGGCTGCCTCCTGCAGGCCCCACACTGGGGATTGAGCTTGCAACCCAGGCATGTGCCTTGACCAGGAATCGAACCATGCCCTCCTGGTTCATAGGTCAATGCTTAACCACTGAGCCATACCAGTCAGACTAGAATTTTTAAAGACATTTTACTTACCTTTTGGTTATTTTTACTGTGGTTGCATTGTAACTATAAATTAAATCTAACATATGCATTAAAAACTATCCTACCTATGCACTCCCACAGCATACTATGGTTTTCCATCAAAGCACTTGCCACACTTTATTATCTATTGTTTATTTAGGTACCTGCCTTCACATATGCACTCTAATCTCAATCAAGGCAGGGACCATTTCTATCTCATTCACTATGAATTCCTTAGTCCTAACATGATGCTTCCTATTAGGTTATATATGCAGAAATATGGGTAAATTATCTCCAATGCTAGCATAAGGCCTGACACATGAGTTATCTGTTTATTGAATCAATATGAAAGAATGGAATTCACACCAGTTTGTTAGTGTTTCACCCATTCCAGGAAATTCTAAAAGAATGTCATGCACCAGCTTACAGTCTTCAGGGGCGGAAGCTACTCTGTGGTCACTAGGATGTTATTTTGTGACTTCACTCTAAGCACAACTACAAAGTGGAGGTTCACTGTTGGTGGTATACTCTCACTCCTCACTCCACAGCCTGTGGTCTGGTTTTGCAGACAATTAGCAGAAAAGTTATCCAACTGCTTTTTAAAAATATATATATTTTATTGATTTTTTACAGAGAGGAAGAGAGAGGGATAGAGAGTTAGAAACATCAATGAGAGAGAAACATCGATCAGCTGCCTCCTGCACACCCCCTACTGGGGATGTGCCCGCAACTCAGGTACATGCCCTTGACCGGAATCGAACCTGGGACCCTTCAGTCCGCAGACTGACCTCCATCCACTGAGCCAAACCAGTTAGGGTGGTTATCCAACTGCTTTAATGCAATTTCCAAAAACTGACTCACATCAGGAAAGGCATATAGGCACTTGGAGTCTGAAAAGAAATTGCCAGATCCACTCAACTCAATTCCCTCCCAGTACCATCTCCCTTCTGTTTCCCAAAGTCTGCGCTTACCTCCCGCACAAAGCACTTCAATACAGGGGGGGTAGAGGGGAATGGGGGGATAAGGACACATATGTAATACCTTAATCAATAAAGAAAAAAATCAGTAAAAAAAATAACATTATTCACTGTAAAAATAAATAAAATATACCATGAAGTATATTTTTAAAAAGGCATTTCAATACAAATGTACCTAATGGCCATTATCCATCATCATATGCATCAAAAGCTGAATGGAAACACCTGAATTAAAGCCTAAAGTCATTCATTCCAAGTCTCCTTTGCACATTTTCAGTTATTTTGGAAGTGACCTGCAGAGTCAGCATGAACTTTTTTGCAGCTCTGAGTGTTTTGTAATCATTTGTGTACATCTGTCCTCACCCGTGTCCCACCACCAACACCGTGGGCTGTAAAGTATTTAAAGGCAGGGCCTGTATCTTATTTCTGAATCGCTGATGTCAGCACAAAACAGTAGACATAACTTCTAATAGAAATAAATGGACAGCGATTTGTTTCTTCAACTTTGAATCTAAATAGATGTGTACCCCTAAGTAAGTCATTTCACCTCACTGAGACTCAGTTTCCCTAGTTGGGTCCTCAAGGTCACCCTCAAACTCTGACAACCATTAGTCCAGTGGTTCCCAAACTTTTTTTGGCCATGCCCCACCTAAGCATCTCTAAAATCCTGATGCCCCCCGGTGACATATAATTCTTATTATTCAAAAAGTGGACTTCTATTCACATGGAGGAAGCCTAAAAGGCCATTAACTTGGTCTAAACAAGCTTCCAAAGAACATGACATCCATGAAAGAGAAAAATAAAAGAACAAAAGGGCAGTTGAAGTACTGAGGAAGAAATGGTTAAAAAATAATAATAATAATATGAAGTGATATGAAAAAATAGCAAATAAAGTTTCAAAATTGGAATGCATAAATATATCACAATATATATTTATATACTGTATATGAGGCCCTTAGAACCACAAGAAATGCAAAAACTTCACTGTTAATAACATATTTGAATTGCCCCCCTTCAAAATCAAATTGCCCCCCTGGGGGCGTGTGCCCCACGTTGGGAACCACTGCTCTAAGTCTGAAATGCTGTGGGGATCTTGCCACAAACCCCGCGTTCCCAGCAGGCTACCCGTGTTGATTAAAAAAAGGGATAAAAAAACCAACGGGAAAACACGTCCTGAACAGGTTTCCTGTCCTAAGGGAGGGCGCCACTGCCGACCACTCACCCTCCTTAAACCAGGGGGACATGTAGCTCAGGATGTAGGTAGGGTCCAGGATCTTGGTGACATAGTCCCGGAAGGCGTGCAGATTCCGCCGCTCCTCGGCCGTCATGCCTGCAGCTGGGCTCCCGCAAAGACCCTCCTCACCAGCGCCCCACTTTTAAAGCGCACAGGGAGCAGGAGGCGCTTTTTCAGGATGCCGGGGAAATCGAAACCGCAACTAGCGGAGAGGGGCAGGGCAACACCAGGGCGCAGCCTCCCCGCCCCGCCTTCCCCACGCGGTTTCCCTTTCCTCTCCAGCTCCCTGCTTTTCCCACCTGTGGGGACCCGTTTAGATTTTCATTTTATCTTATTTTTTTTGTTTTGCTAATATAGGGGTAAAGTTTAGATTAAATAAAGTGCACAGATTTGAAGGGTACAATTCTGAGTTTTCAAAAACGTTTACAGTGGAACCGCTTCCCCCGGGTTGTGCGGTTGTGCGGGCGTATGTTTAACTTCACAGGAAACTGCCACCTGTTTTCCCAGATCCTTACCACTTGCATTCCCACCCGTAGAGTAAGAGGAAGGAACTAGATACACACCCAGTAAATACACACCCTGGCCAGTTTTCTTGTTTATGTAACTTGGTGTATTGTGTGGTTCTAATTTTTAACTCCTCGATAATTAATGATGTTGGGCACATTCTCATGTACTTATTGGCCACATCTTTTTTTTTTTTTTTGGTGTGTGAAGCATTTGCTCCTCGGTTTTGCCTGAGTGGTTTTTGTTTGTATTATGGATTTACAGGTTTATTTATTTATTCTGGAAACAAGCCCATTGTCAAATAAATGTATCCCAAATGTCTTCGCCTAGTCTGTGATTTACCGTTTAATTTTCTTAAAGGTGTCTTGAGCAAAAGTTTGTTTTGGTGAAATCCAAACGTTTTTTCTCTGTGTACTGCTTTTTGTGTCTTCTAATAAATCTTTGCCTACTCCTAGGTCATTAAGGTATTCTTTGTCTTTTATTTCTTTGACATTTAGGTCTATGATAATTTCAAATTAATTTTGTTGTGCTATGAGGTAGGGGGGTCAATGTTTCATTTTTTTACTTCTAATTGTTACAGCACAAAGTATTTCATTTGTTGAAAATTTTTTCTGCTCCCATTGAATAGCTTTGGCACCTTTGTAAAAAAAAAGTCAATTGACTGTATGTATGCAGGTGTATTTTTAATTCTAATTAGTTCCATTTGTGCACTGACACTGCTTTATTCTGCTTTGTAACGATTATACTGGATCTCTGCATTTTGTTATGACATAAGAATAAATGTCAATTTCCCCAGCTTGCCACACACACACACACACACACACACACACACACACACAAGTGATTAGGATTTTGACTAGGGCTGCATTGAACCTATAGATAAACTTTGGGAGAATTGACATTTTAACAACATTGAATTCTAATCTATGAATTTGTTTTCTAGACTTTCTCTCAGTAGTATTTTATGTTTTAACAGTACAGGTTTTGCCCTGGCCAGTGTGGTTCAGTTGGTTGGGGTGCTGTCCTGTATACCAAAAGGTGGCCAGTTTGATCCCCGGTGTCAGGGCACATACTGGGTTGGGGTGCATGAAGGAGGTAGCTGATCAATGTTTCTCTCCCTTAACTATTTTATGTTCTTTGATGCTACTCTAAATAGAATTGTTTCTAAGGTTTCATTTTCAAATTGTTGATAGTAGATAGAAATACGTTTTTTTTGTTTTTTTTTTTTTTTTACCTTGTTTTATGCAACATTGCTAAATTCACTTATTGGGTCCAGGAGTTGTTCTGTAGATTCCTTAAATTTTCCTAGGTAAATAGTCATGTAACTTGTGAATACATGGTTTTTACTTCTTCCTTTCCAATCTTTTAAAATTTTTTAAAAATATTTTATTGATTTCAGAGAGGAAGAGGGAAACGGAAACATCAACAATGAGAATCAGTAATCAACTGCTTCCTGCACGCCCCCTACTGGGTATTGAGTCTGCAACCTGGGCATGTGCCCTTGACCAGAATCGAACCCCAGCACCCTCAGTCTGCAGGCTAACTCTATCCACTGAGCCAAAGCAGCTAGGGCTCCTTTCCAATCTTTATGTCCTGTATTTTGTTCCCTTATTACACCACCCATGACCTCCAATAACAAGTTGAATTAAAGTGGTGAGGGGGTGACATCCTTATTACTAATTTCAGTGGGGAAATGATGTTTCACTTTAATTACAATGTTGGGCATAGGTTTTTCTCAGATGCCCTTTATCAGATTGATATTCTTTTATTCCAGGTTTACTCTGCTTTTATCATAAATGGGTGTTGAATTTTTCAAATTTTTTTAAAATGTATTTTTATTGATTTCAGAGAGGAAGAGATAGAAACATCAACGATGAAAATCATCCATCAGCCTCCTCCTGCACACTCCTTAATGGGGGTGGAGCCTGGAACCTGGGCATGTGCCCTTGAACCGAATCAAATACGGGACCCTTCAGTGTGCAGGCTAAGCCAAACCGGCTAGGGCCAAATGTTTTTTTTGTTTGTTTTTTTTTTGCATCAATTGAGGTGATCATATATTAATTAACAAAGTGAATTTCATTGATTTTTAAAAAATATATTTTTATTGATTTCAGAGAGGGAGAGGGAGACAGAAACATCAATGATGAGAATCGATAGGCTGCCTCCTGCATGCCCCCCACTGGGGATTAAGCCTGCAACCCAGGCATGTGCCCATGACCGGAATCGAACCTGGGACCCTTCAGTCCTCAGGCCGATGCTCTATCCACTGAGCCAAACCAGCCAGGGAGAATTTCATTGATTTAAAAAAATATATTAAACCAACCTAATCTCTGGGATAAATCCCATTTGGTCATGATATAGCATTTTTAATTAATTAGCTATTTTTTTGTGTGTTAATAAAAGATATTGGTCTATTTTTCTTATAATGTAAGGATTATGCTGGTCAAGAGTTTGTGTAAGGTTGGTACCAATACTTCTTAAACATTTAAGAGAATTCACAACGAAACTATTTGGCTTGGAGTTTTCTTTGAAGATACCTTGATTCAATTTCTTTACTAGATATACAGCAATTCTGATTTTAAATTTTATCAAGTCAGTTTTGGTAAGTTGTGCTTTTTAAGGAATTTGACCATTTCCTCTAAATTATTAAATTTATTGGCATGTTTTTAATATTCCTACTGATCAAAAAATCAGTGTTGCCAAGAATTTAGTAATTTTTTTTCAAAAAATCAATTTTGACTTTGATATTTTAAAAAAATTATTTTTCTATTTAATACATTTCTAATCATTATTCTTTTCTCTTACTTCCTTTGGGTTTAATTTGCTTTTACTAGTTTGTTAAGGTGTAAGTTTAGATTACCAATTTTATACATTTTTCTTTCCAATATAAGTATTTGAGGCTATAAATTTCCCTTCTCAGCTGAGTTCTAGCATCCCCATCACTTGATATTATGCTGTTTTCAATGTCATTCCTTTTTAGTGTATATTATTCCTGTGATTTCTTCTTTAACCTATGAGTTAATTATAGAATTGTGTTTATTTTTCAAATATTGGTAATTTCCTAAACATTTGAGGGTTATTGACTTCTGATTTTAGTGTTGAGATGTTCATTATGTTTTAAGACTTTGATCTTTTGAAATTTATTGAAACTTGTTTTATAGCCCAGCAGATAGACTGGATCATCATTTAAGAATATTTATGTTGTAGTTCTTGGGTATAGCTTTATAAATATCAATTATGTTAAGTTACAGTTGGCTCTAGTCTCCTACATTAATACTTACTTTCTGTCTACTTGTTCTGTCAAGTACTGACAGGGGGTGTTAAATCTCCAACTATGGATATTTATTTGTCCATTTGTCCCTTTCGTCCTATTGGTTTTTGCACCATAATTTGATAGCTGTTATTAGATGCATAACATTTAGGGCTGTGATGGTACCATGTATTAAGATGGGGTTTCATTGTGTTTAACTGAAAACATCATGTAAAATCAGAATGTGGAATAAAATAGCATTAAGTTTGGAATACTTAAGAAAAACTACAGTTGGGGGGGGGCAGGACACATATGTAATACCTTTTGTAATACTTTTAGCAAAAAAAAAAAATAAAAATTAAAAAAGAAAAACTACAGTCATTTTATAATTTTAAAATATAGTCCTTGGGCCAAAACCGGTTTGGCTCAGTGGATAGAGCATCGGCCTGCGGACTGAAAGGTCCCAGGTTCGATTCCGGTCAAGGGCATGTACCTGGGTTGCGGGCACATCCCCAGTAGGAGATGTGCAGGAGGCAGCTGATCGATGTTTCTCTCTCATCGATGTTTCTATCTCTCTCCCTTCCTCTCTATCTCTCTCTATCTCTCTCCCTTCCTCTCTGAAATCAATTAAAAAAAGAAGAACAGGGATGTCTAATATTCAACTTGAGCGTGTTGGGTTTGTGCAAAGTAAGCTTCCTACTTCTCCCAAAGCCTTCAGCAGAGTTAGTTGCTAATATGAAGACCTCCTATGACATAAAAAATCAATAAAATATATTTAAAAAAAAATATATAGTCCTTGGTCAACTAGTCTTCCCATAATTGGTCATCAATTTCTGAACTTATTAAAAATTGTCAAATCAATGTTAGATTCTTGTCATTTTAAACCACTTTCCTACTGCCCTTAAGATAAACACAAACTCTAAACATGGCCTACAAAGCTTGGCCCCAAAGTCTTTGTCCTTTAGCTAACCCAGTCTTGGACCACTTCAGGCTTCCCTTCTGCCTTTGGACCTTTGCATATCTTTTCCTTTCATAACAACTCCATGTCTACCTATTTACTGGATTTCAGTTCAATCATCACTTCCACCTGAGAGTAGAGCCCTATTGTATGCTTTTAAAGCAAATTATACTTTCTCACCAGAGAACTTAGTTATATGTCGTCTGTTTTGTTCTATCACTGAATCCCTAGTACAGAACCCATCACACAGCAAGTATTCCAATTTCTGTTAACAATGAATGAACATGGTAGCAAGGTAAATTTGAAGGCTAAATTTAGATTTAATCCAAGTTCTGCTGTTCACTGGCAATCCTACATCACACTATAGATGTAGAGCAATTTTTATCTCTAAAACTGGATAAAACATAAACACAGTCACTTTGTGTAAAACAACTAGCAATGTAAAAGTCTGGCAAGGGTTTTTGTTT